AACATCGAATAGTCCCTTTCGCGATCCGTTTTGTTCCCGCTAATTTTAGATGGCACTCTTCGTTTCCATTTATCCAGTAGGTATACGTTCGTTTGTAGCGGGTAGGTTTAGTGTAGGTCATGGAAAACACCCCGTAAATTCAATGAAATTTTCCATTGTGACATGCAGAACAATGCCACCAGCGCCACCGTGTGTTTTGGAAACCGAGCTGGAATTTCCAACTCTGATTGGGTAGCTATTGCCTTTGTAAAATGCATGGCACAGAATCAATGAGGTTAAAAATTCCTTTTCATGTTATTGCATTACAAAAAAGAAAGAAGGATTGTGTATAATGAAACTCCATCTTGTATTTTTCCTGAAATGAGGTTATTGTGATAACTGCTATGATTTGAAAGGACACCAATATGATTCCAGTAACTTCTTTAATTGATCTGTGAAGTTCAATAACAACATATTTTCATTTATCAAACTCATCAAAGCAATTTTAAGGATATTTCATTATATAACTTTCCTTTGCTAACTACTCTATTTCAGTCGGCCATGACAGTTTCGGTAGGGGATATCAGTTTTCATTTTATTTGTGGGAGGTTTTCTATGGTGTAGGTAAAGTGTATACTTCAGGGTGAAGAATTCTTTTTTTCTTCCCTTGCACGTTTTTTACAGGATTGTCTTCTATCTAGCAACTTTTTAGCTGATACTTGGGTCTTGAACTTTGAATGAATTGACAAGATAATCTTTAGCCATTGTTTTGATTGATTTTGCTGTGGAGAAAATGGAAACATTTGAAAGTTCTGTTTCTTTGTGAAGACTTAAATATTACGCATTTTTCAGAGGGGAAGAATATCTGTCAAATTATTCATTGTTGAATCATATGAACCACCCTGTATAGATGAGTTTGATTCTTGCTTCAAGTGCATAAAAATGCATTAGAGGTAGATAGAAAGCTTCATTATTAAAATTGGATGGCTTTGTTGTGGTGGAGAATATGTTTAGCTTAAAATTTCAGTGATTGTTCCAGTTTTCGAATTTTCAATTTTGTTTTTGACATCACTGATCACTGTAGACTGCTTATTGTACTGCATATTATTTTAGCTATAATTTTATTACTGTTATTTGTTGTATATTAGAATGTGAACAAAACGAGACGTGGAATTATATTGTAGTCAGTGTGGAAATATTTAAACGCCTCTAAATAATTGTAAAAATACAAAAAAATAATAAAATTTCAAAAAATTGTTTAAATTGGATTTATTTTCAAATAACTATATCAATTATTAACTCTTTAGTTATTTAGTGTTTTGTGTAGTTAGGATTTAAGGTTAAGCATGATCTTGGTTATTTTTTAATTTGTGTAATACAGATTCAAACAATTTATTGGAGTGTATTTTTTTGGGGAACAAAAAACAAATTGAAAATGAATCACATTCAACTTACAATATTTTTATTACAAAACATTCTAACAATGATACAAAATTTTGGGTTTTCAACGATAATGGGAAGGTATATAAATAAATTCTTATAAATACATACACAATATTCTTCTAACATTCAAACCAATTCCAATGAAAACGATCACTCCCTTTAATAGCATAAAGTTCATCTAACAATGTCTATTGGCAAGACCAATATTTACAATTTTTTTTGTAATATGTACAACTAATAAGTTAATTTTTAATTACCTAACAATTGGTACCTACATTTTAATAGTTTGAGTTTTTTACCTGAAGAAACGTGAGCATGGTAGGATTCATACTTGTATATGTATATTTTTCAAGCAATTGAAATCAGAATTTCGATAGACAAGCTGTGAATTTTATAAGTCGAAAGACACGACAAATGGGGGTTTGGTATCAGTCAAAATTCTGGAATAAAAGTCCAAATATTGCCAGACAGTGTAGTTGTTAGTGCTGATATATACATAGACAGAACGCCAGGCGAATTCTTGATTACAAATCAAAATTTCGAGATGGACAAGGCAAACATTTTGAGATTTTGAAGTGCACAAGCCGAAGTTTCGGGATAAATTGATTAGAATTCCAATAATGAGAAATCGAAATAATGAAACATCGAAAGTATGATGAAGAGATGCAAAAGTTACAAGTCCAGATTCCGAGATACAAGTCGGAATTATGATGTTGACGTCAACATTTCGATCAACAAGTAGGGATTAAGAACAAATGCAGATTCCAGGTCAACGTTCCTTGTTGCACAAGTCAAAATCTCGCGATACACTTTTCGAGTGTACTGATGATGAATCATCATTCAATTACGAGATTCAAGTATCATTTTGCTGATTTGAAATAAGTCGATATTCAAGTATAATTTCAAAGATACAATTCACCGCCTCCCTTTCTTGTTTCTTCCCCTGGCCGCTTTGCCCCTCCTCGACCCCCGTACAGCAAGCCGGCGGGGGATTGCCCCCCCCTTAATAGTTCTGGATGAGTGCCGAGATGTACGTGTCGGTATATTCAGATATCGAACTCGAAATGCCGAAATCAATCTAAATTTCAATATAAGTCGGGATACCGTGATACAAGTCAAAATTTCGAAATACAAGTCGATATAGAAGACGGGCTTTCGATGAACCAGTTGCGGAATATTGTAGGATAAGTCCGTTTTGCGAATCGGAATCTCGATGAAGATCTCGAAATTTTGATAAACCAGTCGAGATGACACGACGAAATTTTCATATTCAATTTGAATTTTGAGTACAAGTACAAATTTGAAGATATAAGTCGAGATTCTGAGATACAAGTTCGGAATTATGATGATAGAAGTCGATATTTAGATAAATTAACAAGTTGAAATTCCAAGATGCATGTATGTATTTGAAGATACAAGTTGTAATTTTCATGTAGACCCAGCAAACACAAATACATATCTGATACATAACAACCACATATTTCTGTTCTCATCCGATGTTGCAGACATATTATTTGTACAGTTAATGTATCTTGCATGTAACGTCAAATTTCCGCCTCCCTGAATATGTCCTTTATGCATCTGACATATGTTGAGTGTTTTCGAAGTAACATTGCATACATGTATCAGATACATTATAAGTAACGAATTTGTTCTTATAATGATACTTGAATGAATGTTACAGAGTAATATATGTGAGATGAATCCAAAATTATGTACTTGATCATTTCGACAAATATACAGGAATTTGAGTGTCGACAGCCATATTGATAACTTTGTTTTTATTGAAGATACAAAATTGTTCACATTAACAAACTATCAGTAGGAACATAAAGGTTTTTCTGACTATAGAAGACAATTTCTCATTATATGTTACAAAAAACGCGATACTCAAATGTTTATTTTCATTCTTTCACCATATAAAAAGCATTGAAAATACTGCTAGTTTGATAATTTAAACAATGTTGTATATTCAATTATAACAAAGTTACCTATGGTGGACACTCAATTTGGATAACCCTGTATACTTAAGTTGTAGTTATCTACTCCTTTGTAGTGTTTCATGTCTGATTGTTTTCAGTACCTGGTCCTAGAGAAATGGAAATCATGGTTTCTAGATTGAAAATCAATGGAAACAATTTCAGACATTTTCAGCAATGAAGTGAGAACTGAATTATAATTAACTTGGAAATATTTAAAATTCATGTTTTGAATACATCACTGAGAAGACATCATACCTATGTTAATAGAGACAAAATATTGAGGATGAAAATTTTATTATCAATTTGAAATGATCCAGCATTTCTGGCACCAAAATGGAAGAATAGGTACTTCAGTGGTAATGATAGGTAAATTGAGTGGTAAATCCCCTATATTCATATGCTTTCTAGCTGATTTTATCCAGGAATGTATTCTCTTTTGAGAAAAGCACTGCACATACACTACCTATATATCATTTCTGATAGCACTTATTTTGACACACCAAAATAGTTCATAATGTCTCGGTGGAACTTTGACCATACACTATTGATAGGTACACCTTCGTGTTTCTAGTTGGGTTCTAGAGTTCTACTTCAGAGGTTAAAACCGACTTTGGAAAATGCACTTGAAAGTGTAGTGGAATATAGAATGTTTGATTGTTCAATGACCCAAAATCTTCTGTCAAAGAATGTTTCCTTTTTTCATGCTTTTGGATTTTCTAACCCATCCATGTTGTCCCTAAAAGTCACAAATGAAAACACCATTACTTTCAACATCCATTTGAGCACATTCTTCAGGTTCAGTTGTTATGGAACGGCTGATGGTACTTACATAGATAAACAGACATTGGAAATTGCACATGAAAGTGTCATGGAATATTCGATGACCCAGAAGTCTTCCAAATTGATCTTGATAGTCTTAGATAAAAACATCATTCAAAACCCCATTGGGCATCTTCTTCATATTCAGCTGCTTTGGAGTGGCTGGTGGTACTTACATAGATAAATGCACATTAGCAGTGTGATCATGTAGAGACAGATAATTAGGTAGGTAAATCACTTTCATTTGTGATATTACACCCTCGATTCCACCTCTGTCTTGTACTCAACTCGTGAACATATTTTTGAGATATTTCAATCACTATAAACAATCCAAAATGAAAACAATACACTATTTGATTTTTTTTCTGAAAAAATATGTGAGACAAACATGCAAAGCATAACATAACCTTCAAAGGAAACTAACATGAAGTTCTCTCCATCAACTAGGTACCAACTCCTACAGAATAGAACGTTTCACTGTTATGAATTTGTCGATGATTTTAGAAATAATCTTGTATAGTTTCGAGATATAAGTGAAACATGCGATTTTGTTTCCTTCACCATACATGTATAATTCAACTAAACAATATTTTTTCATGGCATTTGAAGCATCATAAATGTATATGATATGTTTCCTGTTATGTAACCACTTGAACAAGAAAATATATTGCATGAAATGTAATAGCTTTGTAGCAGATATGTTCCACGGTGATGTTTCTCCGGAACCCTGATGAGCTCCATTTGCCATATGGCAGACATATGTGTGTTTGCTGGGGAGTCGAAATTTTGATGCACAAGTAGGAACTGTGAGATAACACAACGAAATTCTGATATACACAAGTATGAATTTGGAGGTACAAGTCAGAATTTGAATGAAGGAGTCAAAATATCAATGTACAAGTCGAAATTCAGCCACAATACTGTACAATGAAGTATGAATTTGAAGATTCAAGTTGGGATTTCAAGATAAAAAGTCGCAATTTGCATCTATAAGTCAAAATTTCGATACACAAGTCGATGTTCTGAGTTGCACAAATCGAAATTTGGAGATACTAGTGAGAATTTGAAGATTCAAGCGGTGATTCAGAGATGAAAGTCGGAATTTGAATGAAGAAGTTGAAATATCAATGTACAAGTCGAAATTCAGAGAAAACAGTACTGTGTATTGAAGTATGAATTTGAAGATACAAAAGTCGACATTACGAGATACAAGTCAGAATTAAATGTTGTAAGTTGAAATTCCGATACCAGTTGGAATTTTGATGTAGAAGTCGAAATTTTGATGCACAAGTAGAAATTGCGAGATAACACAAAGAAATACTGATATACAAGTATGAATTTGGAGATACAAGTCAGAATTTGAATGAAGAAGTCAAAATATCAATGTACAAGTCGAAATTCAGCCACACTACACGTGTAATGAAGTATGAATTTGAAGATACAATTCGAGATTTGAAGATAAAAGACGCAATTTGGATCTATAAGTCAATATTTCAATACACAAAAGTCAATGTTCCAAGTTGCACAAGTCGAAATTTAGAGTTACAAGGCATACATTTCGAGATTCAATTTCACATTTCGAGAAACAAAGCCGAATTTCGGAAAAGAGCTGAAACTTCCAGATTCAAGTAGGCGGGTTTGAAGATCCAAGTTGGAATGTCTATACTAGCCTGGATTTTTGTTATACACATATAGTCTAAAATCTGTTATAAATTAGTCAACCTGGGCAATTTCTTTCCTCGAGAAAAGTCGAAAGTTGAGGGTCAATTTTTAACGTCCAACCCTAAACATTCACCCCTTCGCCATCTTGCTTCCCCCCCTCGGTTCTCTCCGAGCCGCTCTGCCAGCCCGAATCCATGGTGCCGTCGCTATGGCATCCCCCCTGGCCGCCCTGCCCCTCCTCGTCCCCCCCGTACAGCAGCCCGGCAGGGGGGTTGCCCCCCAGGTTCTGGATGAGCGCCGAGATGTTGGAGCCGATGTTCCTGCGCTGCAGATTGAGCGTTTTGGGCGGCGGCATTTTGGGGAAGTTGGTCTGCGGGTAGTAGGTCTGGTCGTACTGGAGGCCGGAGATGGTAGCCGTGAGGTTGCTCGGCGGCTGGCGATAGGTGTCTTGGTCGGGGATGACCTGAGGTGTTCCGGGAGTTTTTATTTATTTCATTTTCGAACCGTTATATATTTTTTCGAATTGGCTCGGCCGTTACTCGATGGAAATCCATCGCAAATATGAAAACTTCACAAACGTAAGATTTCCACAAAATTCTCGAGCACACAATACTTGGCTTGCTCAACTTTTATATATCCTACTTTCCCAACTTTTGAAGGATTATACAGGGCGTGATACAGAGGAGACATGTAGCAGCCTGTAGTTTTTTTTTATTTGAAGAGATGAAATTTTGAAATTCACAGGGGGTATATAATAAATGGTAGCGCAGTTAACGAACTTAACGACAATTTTTTTCAACCACCTTTTTGACCGGCAGTGACCTCGACTTTTTTTTTAAATGTCGACACTTGATAGGCTTTGAAATTTGAAGATCATTAGTAAACCGATATTATTCAAAATGTTTTGATATTCTGATCAATGTCTGCAGGTTGTCAATAGCTTCGTTGAGTCAAGATGAAAACCTCCGAAAATAACTCATGATATTGAGGAATCTAAGATAGGAATATATTTTTTAGAATTCAGCTACTCGTACAGAAACTATCTGTCTTTTATTTTCGCCATGTACCTATCACATGATCTTCCCATTTGGAATACTAAAACTAAAATTGTTCCTCTTATACGATGATCCACATATTTTTTATTTCACTTAGTAGGCGGTGTACCTACACAAAATGATTTATGTGTTTGACAGATAATCGATTGCATCAATAATTTTTCTTCTTCATTTGTGTGTTGATTAAAATTGCATATTATCAATAGAGACGGAAAATGTATTCAAGAAACGAAAAAGTCGATATGTTACCAGATCTAGTAACCTAACCTGAGATATGTTACCAGATCTAGTAACCTAACCTAAGATATGTTACCAGATCTAGTAACCTAACCTAAGATATGTTACCAGATCTAGTAACCTAACCTGAGATATGTTACCAGATCTAGTAACCTAACCTGGGATATGTTACCAGATCTAGTAACCTAACCTAAGATATGTTACCAGATCTAGTAACCTAACCTGAGATATGTTACCAGATCTAGTAACCTAACCTGAGATATGTTACAAGATCTAGTAACCTAACCTGGGATATGTTACCAGATCTAGTAACCTAACCTGGGATATGTTACCAGATCTAGTAACCTAACCTGAGATATGTCACCAGATCTAGTAACCTAACCTGGGATATGTTACCAGATCTAGTAACCTAACCTAAGATATGTTACCAGATCTAGTAACCTAACCTGAGATATGTTACCAGATCTAGTAACCCAACCTAAGATATGTTACCAGATCTAGTAACCTAACCTAAGATATGTTACTAGATCTAGTAGGCTTTGAAATTTAAATAATGAAATCCGATATTATTCAAAATGTTTTGATATTCTGATTAATGTCTGCAGGTTGTCAATAGTTTGTTTGAGTCAAGATGAAAACCTTCGAAAATAACTCATTATATTGAGGAATCTAAGATAGGAACATATTTTTTCGAATTTTCAGCTACTCGTACAAAAACCATCTGTCTTTTATTTTCGCCATGATAGAGATGGAAAATGTATTCAAGAAACGAAAAAGTCGATATGTTGTTAATATGCAATTTTAATCAACACACAAATGAAGAAGAAAAATTATTGATGCAATCGATTAACTGTCAAACACATAAAACATTTTGTGTAGGTACACCGCCTACTAAGTGAAATAATTATGAAAAAATAGACTGATAGCCCTGTGGATCATCGTATAAGAACAATTTTAGTTTTTTTATTCCAAATGGGAAGATCATGTGATAGGTACATGGCGAAAATAAAAGACAGACGGTTTTTGTACGAGTAGCTGAATTCGAAAAAATATGTTCCTATCTTAGATTCCTCAATATCATGAGTTATTTTCGAAGGTTTTCATCTTGACTCAAACAAGCTATTGACAACCTGCAGACATTGATCAGAATATCGAAACATTTTGAATAATATCGGTTTACTAATGATATTTAAATTTCAAAGCCTACTAGATCTAGTTACATATCTTAGGTTAGGTTACTAGATCTGGTAACATATCTTAGGTTGGGTTACTAGATCTGGTAACATATCTCAGGTTAGGTTACTAGATCTGGTAACATATCTTAGGTTAGGTTACTAGATCTGGTAACATATCCTAGGTTAGGTTACTAGATCTGGTAACATATCTTAGGTTGGGTTACTAGATCTGGTAACATATCTCAGGTTAGGTTACTAGATCTGGTAACATATCTCAGGTTAGGTTACTAGATCTGGTAACATATCCCAGGTTAGGTTACTAGATCTGGTAACATATCTCAGGTTAGGTTACTAGATCTGGTAACATATCTCAGGTTAGGTTACTAGATCTGGTAACATATCTCAGGTTAGGTTACTAGATCTGGTAACATATCGACTCTTTCGTTTCTTGAATACATTTTCCGTCTCTAGTATGCAATTTTAATCAACACACAAATGAAGAAGAAAAATTATTGATGCAATCGATTTCAAACACATAAAACATTTTGTGTAGGTACACCGCCTACTAAGTGAAATAAATATGAAAAAATAGACTGATAGCCCTGTGGATCATCGTATAAGAACAATTTTAGTTTTTTTATTCCAAATGGGAAGATCATGTGATAGGTACATGGCGAAAATAAAAGAGAGATGGTTTTTGTACGAGTAGCTGAATTCGAAAAAATATGTTCCTATCTTAGATTCCTCAATATCATGAGTTATTTTCGAAGGTTTTCATCTTGACTCAAACAAGCTATTGACAACCTGCAGATATTGATCAGAATATCAAAACATTTTGAATAATGGTTTACTAATGATATTTAAATTTCAAAGCCTACTAGATATCTAGTAACATATCTTAGGATAGGTTACTAGATCTGGTAACATATCTTAGGTTGGGTTACTAGATCTGGTAACATATCTCAGGTTAGTTTACTAGATCTGGTAACATATCTTAGGTTAGGTTACTAGATCTGGTAACATATTCCAGGTTAGGTTACTAGATCTGGTGACATATCTCAGGTTAGGTTACTAGATCTGGTAACATATCTCATGTTAGGTTACTAGATCTGGTAACATCCCAGGTTAGGTTACTAGATCTGGTAACATATCCCAGGTTAGGTTACTAAATCTGGTAACATATCTCAGGTTAGGTTACTAGATCTGGTGACATTTCTCAGGTTAGGTTACTAGATCTGGTAACATATCTCAGGTTAGGTTACTAGACCCGACTTTTTCGTGAAAATGCACTTTATTGTTTTATTTTGTAATTTCATGAGTGGCTTCTAATGTGAAATATTTCCCAAATAGATATTATATAGATAATGTAAATTTGAATAAATAAGACAGAAATAAATACTCTTTAGGTATCTATAACAAGAATGACATTTCGAATTTTATATAAAATACCTGCAATAAAGGATCAAATTTTTCCCTCAAATAATGTATATGTTGAGTCCACGATAATTGTTCATCAATATGTATAAAGACCTAAAAATGTTGTTGCATTTGTATTATGATGTGAATCCTAAAACCTAACCTATATTCAGAATTTTAACTGATAATCTTGAAAACTAAAAAAGATATATTATCTCTTAGTTTTCGAGGAAAAAAAGCTTGAAATTTTAACGCTCTATAGATCAGTGAAGAAGTGTGTGTGAAAAATGAGCCCCTGTATTCTTGATAATTAATTTTGAAATACGAAAATAAATCCCGTTTTGATATACTTTGGACTATTCAAAAACTCTACTCACCTCGTACTGAGCATCGGGGGCGAGATAGTGCTCCATCCTCCTCATCCCCTGCTCGCCCCCACCTACCCTTTCCTGGAAGTACCCCCCGCCCCCGCAACACTCGTCCGGCGACACCCCATCGTCCGTCGACTCCGTCATGGGCGTCTGGACGCTGCACAAGCTGTGCCCCGACACGTCCCTGGTCATCATCAACTGCAGTCCGTCCTTGGACAACATCAACTGATGTCCGTCTTTGTCTTTCGGCATCATCGAGGCATCTCTGGGTAGCACCTGTTGATTGATAAATCGAAGGAATTATGGCAAACCTGCTTGAAACAGATGAAAATACAGTTCTCAACACACTATGAATGAACCACTCATAATTTGACTCTTTTTCGAAAACCTCTGTATTTTTTGAAAAAATTGACCGATCTTCATGCGGTTTTCGATATCAGATGTGATGCTTCATCGGCTTCAAAGAGAGCTAGAACACTCTGAAAAAGTCCGCAGAACAAAACTTACACAGGGTGTAAAGTGAGACCATTACACTCTATGGTCTACATTTCCAATGCTGCCACCCAGCGAGCACAAACATCCCTGGGATGTTTTGAAAATGTTGGCATGAAGATGTTATTTTTGAGACGTAATATGCACTGACCAAAGAGGTCTTCGAAGGATATTGAAGTATTGTTTTTGTTCTTCTGTGGCATTTCCTTGTTTGCCTACTGAGAGGTATCCCTGGGATGTTTTGGGATGTTTTAGAAATGTAGGCATGAGGATGTTTTTTTGAGGCGTAATATGCACTTAAAGAGATCTTAGAAGGATATTGAAAGTATTGTTTTTGTTCTTTTGTGCCCTTTCTTTGTTTGCTCCACCACAACGTCTCATGCTTACGTCACAATACGATGAATTCTGATTTGTTTTCGATTTTGTTCTTCTTGTTCGCAATTGGCATTCGCGTTTGCAGCGTGTCACGTTAAATCACGCTGCTAACGAACAGAAAGGAATTTGGTGAAGTTTATTGTGTTAGAAGACTTATTTAGTTTGTAATAATGACCATCAGATGCAAGATGTGTTGTTCGGTGCCTCAGTGTAATCAATATATATAAAAGTACGAATTTATCAATACACATCAGCTTCTCCGCAGTTGCAAAATTATGCATTGTGGAGAACATTTCAAAAATTGGGAAACCTATTTTCAATTATATGTCTGTGTGTAGTAAGCACTACTCAGAAACCGATTAAGAAGATGATTTCATATCAAGAAAATATTTTTATGTTCAATCTATTTTTAATGCATTTTTTCATTCAAGGGAAATGGAATCCTAATGCAAAAGTTCATTTTGACAAAAGGCTTCAGAAAAGTACCTCGAAAATGTTTTTTTTACAGCGATTTAATGTGCGCAAGACGCGTTGAAAATGTTTTGTTGTGTCCATGAAAAGGCTTTAAAAAGAACTAGGGAGAAGGTAGTTTTGTGACATATCAAGGACATCTCGATAATTGACGCCTGCGGCGGACATTGGCTGTTCTATAATGGTTTTATTCATGTGTGAACAGAACATCGCAGTGGAGGTTCAATGTCTCGAAATCTCGTACTTTTAACATCTCTGAGATGTTTTTGTGCTCGCTGGGCAGAACTCGACAAATTTTTTTCTGATCCAAAGTCAGTCATATTATGATACACTGGGACCTCATCTCGGGACATTTTCGTGATTTCTCCTTAATTGGCCATTGGCCAACATTAGATTTTTTTCGAAAGTCTTGCATTTCGTGATTTTTTTCCCTAGAACTGCACTAGAGGTGAATATTGGGAAGAACTGTTCTCATGTTTTGTGGAGGACAATGGAAAACGAAAATAGCACCATGGTGGAATATACAGGATGATAAGAAAATAGGACAAAATCTCATTTCAGTAAAAAAATCAAAAACGGTGACTAAAACCAAATTTAGGTTTTTAGGATTAGCTATAAGTCGAGCACAGGTTAAGTGTAAGAATAGCTTCCTAAACTTCGCCTGATGCCCATACCACCTATGCCTTCTATGTAATATTCTTTTGAGAAAATAAAGACGGATTATTATTATTATTATTGTCTCTGGGAAGCACCTGTTGATTGTCTCTGGGCGGCACCTGTTGATTGTCTCTGGGCGCCACCTGTTGATTGTCTCTGGGCAGCGCCGCCGACTGTTTGTCTTTGGGCGGCATCGATTGTTTGTCTTTGGGCGGTATGGAGTCGAGATCGGGGAGGGGGAAGGGCAGCCGGCTGCGGACGGACATCTGACGGTCGCCCATGCGGTGGGCGAGGTAGTCTTCGTCTTCGGTCGCCGTCGATGAGGAGATGTTCTCCTGCAACACGGGTGTTATTTCGTGTCGTTGTTTCGATAGGTTGTTCTAGGGGAGTGTATTTTTATATTATAGAGGTTATTGGTCACATCGGATTTTTCTCAATCAAGTGTTTCGGATTTATCTTCGGATGCAGACGTCACTGTTTCATACAGAGTGTTCCACAGAGGTTAAGGGTTAAGGTGGTTCTGGAAATTTCATATTCGATAAGTCTTACAGTCTTTTATAACAGATATACAGGGGGATTTATCGATTTCGAATAATTATTCACTCGTCCATTTATAATTTTTATCCATTCAAATCAAGGTAATATCAAAATTCTGCATCAAAATGTAGCAGTAAATACGAGAAGTACCTTCCTGATCTTAAGGAAGTTTAATAATTTTGATACTCTTTCAAATTGACATACTTCCAACTATCTGATGTTTATGAGTGTTACGATGAGAATTGGTGGCAGGAGAACCAAAAATTATCAAAACCAATTAGGTTCGTTCTGCTCTCCACGTATTTTTTTATATTTCGAATAAATGTAAATTTTTCCTGAATCCGCACCTGGACTTCCATCCATTCCGCCCGATAGTTCAATGAATTCAACATCCCAAGTGAAAGCTCCATACCAAATTTGAAGAAAATATACTGGGTTATGGACGAGTGAATAATCATTAGAAAACGATAAATCACCCTGTACCTCTGTTATAAAGACTGCATGACTTATCAAATATGGTATTTTCAGAACCACCTTGGCGACCCCAATCTACCATTGAAATATTTTCTTTTACCAATGAAACACCCTGTATATCCGGCTCGAAGGACCAAAAAATGTTATTTCGTTTCGTTGTTTCGATAGTTGGTTTCAGTGGACTGTATTTTAATAGGTTACCGATGCTAATAAAACACTTTCATTGTAGTGTAATAACCTTTGAACAAAATGTATATTCGTCGAAATTACAGAAAATGAGAATAATAAATTATATAAAACAGTAAAATGAGCAATCAACTGAAGATCATAACTAGATCTAATCTAATAAATTATGTAACAACGCGGTTTAGAAGGGGTTTTAGCTAGGATTTTCCATCGGGTTTTTTTACGATTTGATTTACATTTTCGGCTAAAAAAAAACAATGTAGTTTTCATGCAACAGATATTTAAACTATATTTCTATTCACCTGGAAATTTTGCAATATCTGATTGGTCCCTGCATCTTTGTCCCCTTTTTGCAGCGACATCAGTCTAGGTTTCTGATTGTCTAAGGCTTCGTCGTACAGCGAGGAATCCTGGCCGTCATTTCTCACAGAGATATTGCAACAGCTGCTGACGTCCGCAAAATACACCTAAATGATGAATCTTTCATTATTTGAAGAAAAAAATAATTTGAAAAGTGGTAATAGAATAGAATAAAATAGACTTTATTGGCTATTTAACACAATGTTTCACAGCACGTCACATAGTACAGAAAGTATTGAGTGACAATATGTAAAAAATGTAAAAACAATCAGGTCATTGACAAACATTTTTTGAAATTAACATTAACAAGAATAACTCAAGAATTCTTCTACACTATAAAAACAGTTTTTCAGGGGTAAACATTTCACATTAGCCTTATATAATGTCTTTCATTTAAGGAAGGTATTCGTGAGCTCAACTTGTTATAAAGTTTCAAATTGAGGGAATTTGATTTGACTTATTTAGATTTAGCCTGAAACGTTGTAGAGCTATTTGGTTTGCTGATTTCGTGTCGTATATGTGAAGATCTGACGAAACAGTATAGTTCCCTTTGTTCGAGTGTATTCCACAAAGGGTTTGATGTATGTAAATGCATGGTAGTGCCATTAGTTTCATATCAGTGAAAAGGGGAAGACAGTGTTCTCCAAGTCCGACTACATCCAGAAGACAAATGGCCTTCTTCTGGGATCTGAACATGTTTAGCGCATTGCTTTAAATTCTGGACCTACATAACATATCTCAATCTTCTCAAGAGAAATATTGTACTGGAGAGCTCACAGTGTTCTCCTGATATATGTTCATTGTTACAGGAGATAATCCGCTGTTGCGTTCTTAACCGTTTAGTTGTAGGGAGTTTGCATTGTTGCATTGTTTGCATTGTCAACTAAAATTTTGAGGCTATAAAAATCTGAAGAACTATTGATAAGTGACGTATCGTCAGCGAAAAGAATGGTGGCTGTATCCTGTAGCATATGCTGAAAAATGTCATTTATATAAATGATAAAAAGCAAAGGGCCAAGGACCGAGCCCTGAGGAACTCCATGTTTCACTGTCCTGAGTTCGGATGTAGTATTTTTCATTTCGACCAGTTGTTGTCTGTCTGTTAAATATGATGACATCAGTTTGAGTGATGTTCCTCTAAACCCATAAACCCAAAAAAATCATGTATGACCTATAGTTTCGACCCTTCACCTTACCTCAGATTCGGTGGCCTCGGGCTTCTGGGGGCTGGACTCCTGCGTTTGGAAAGCCGCGTTTTCCACACCTTGCAGCCGGGGGGCGAATCGACACTTGTGGCCTTCACTGATGGGCTTCGGCTCGGGTATCGAGGCTTCGTGATAGTCGTGATCAGAGTCCACCTACGAACATCACGAATTTTGGAATCATTTCCCATATTATGATACTTGATACTCATCATGAATGTGAAATTATTTGAAAATGCGATATTTTTTTCATTTCTGAGATTTTTCTTCTCGTTCCTTTGAATGAAAATTCCAGTATGATTTCATAAATATCGAATAATAGAAAGTTTTCACTTAGCTTTGGGCATTTTGGGAACAAACCTGCCCACGTTTTCAATATAAAAATGGACAAATAGTATATTGTTTAACAAGCACGCGGAATGTTAGTTTTACACTATAATTTTTCTGCGGCTGTAACAGATAACAGCGACATTTTTTATTTCTTCGTCTTGTAGCCATCTGATTTCCTCTCATCTATTTGACAAAGGTGTCATTGCATGACAATTTGACATTCCATGAGCGATGAGATTTTTTTGAAATAATAATCACAATGGAGTCATTGTGATATTAAATACGGAAATAAAATTGATGACATACAAAGTTCCTCATTGATGTATCGAACACAGTGAAAGAAGATCAATTTTGTGTTATAGCCGTAGAAAACATTATTTTCGTTTTATTTATGGACACTCCTCAATGGCAAACATTTGCAGAAAAAGTGTTGGAATGTTTTTTTATAAAATAATTATGTATATCAACTGAACAGAAAAAGCAATAATGTATCTGTTCTGAAGAATGTAAGTGGATTCTTTGATTTTTCTGTTTTGCATGGCTATTGACTTCTTTTTCTAAGATAGATGGAATTTTTCATTTGGGTGTCTGATGAAGAAAATTTGAGCACAGTGACAATTCAGGTTGATATTTTTATTTATAGAGACGAGGAGAAAATCTCAAAAATTCTGAGAAATGTTCCACTTTCTTAATTAACCTACAAATTCGATAGTATTCATTTGAAAGCCATAGGTAGGTACATATACTGAATATCTTGATATCATTCGGTGAGATTATATTTTTCTGAAGAATTTGAATATTGAGAAAAATTGGATTATTTCACAGAATTACTCAAGATGGTGTTATCTGAATAAATACATTGAATTCAAACCCTAAGAAGGCTCAAGGTTTCCTATCGAATGACACCATCAATGAAAAAAAAATGATCAAAATAAGATTTGGGGCAAGACCTCTTAGTTTTTCACTCAAAATTCTATTCTTCAAGAGCTTGTCGCTCGTAAAATATTGAGATTTCTAAGTTTTGAACTGGTTCTTATCACCAATATGCATAACAAAATATTTAAAGGAAACTCGAGAATTTGTGATGAAGTGACAAAGAAAATTTTAAAATGGAATTGCTAGTCACATCGTTGAAATTTTGAAAGTACACACGGTATATAAAGGGAAAGCGGCAAAAAATCACTGAAATAAGAAAGACTACCATAAATCAGAAAAAATCTAGTATTTTGAAAATGTTTGTTAGACTGAAGTATATTGCTATGCTCAATTCATGTATTCATTATATCTAAATCATCCTGTATAGGAAAAAGTTGCCGCAGCTATAGTTTTCAAAGAAAATAAGCATCAACAACAAAAATTGTAATAGCAATAAATCAATTACAAATTTGTCCTGAAGTGCATTTGGAATCGTTAAATTCATTTTACTATTTTTCGAAATTGCATATTGAATGGCGGAGTAATAGCTTCTCTAGTTCTTTCTAACACAGCCTGAAGATCTACCTATATGTCTAGAAATATTTTACTCATTCAAATTCAATTCAAATAAAACTAAAATCATGAAAAATGTATTCGAAATGCAATTATTTAAAAATCAATCACGGTCGAATATCAATTTTGTTAAAGTACTAGTTCCTGAAGCCCAAAAAACTTAATACTAGTTCATCCTGCAACCACCCGTACCCCCAAAAACACTTACCTTCCCATCCTCCCCCACCTCCCCCCTCCCAAACACGCTCTGCACGTGCGCCCTGCCCCCCGTCTGCCCGCCCCCGCCCTTCACCGACCCCGCCTCCGCCTTCTTCTTGGCGCGCCGCGTGGGCAGCGTGTGCGCCGCCCCACGATCACAGCTCGACGAGTCCGTACCGTCCCCTCCCCCGCCCCCATGGTGGTGGTGGTGATGCAGGTGGGGGTGGTGCACCTCTGGCGTCGTCGTCGTGTTCTCGTAGTTGTCCTTGTTGGAGAAGAGGGGGCGGGCGGGGCGGCGGGTGCCCGCCCTGAGAGGGGAAACGCCCGCCCCGACGCTGTCGCTCATTTGACAGTGGGATTCGTGCGTGTGCGGGTGGTGGTGCAGATGTGGAGCGGCGTGGTGGTACCTAAATAACAATAGTTAAAACACTATTTGAGATAGATAAAACACAATTAGAGGTAGATGGAACACTATTAGAAGTAGGTGGCACACTATTAGACTATTAGAGGTAGATGGAACACTATTAGATGTAGATGGAACACTATTAGAGATAGTTGGAACACTATTTTAGAGGTGGATGGAACACTATTAGAGGTAGAGGCACTGGATGGCATTAGTTAGATAAGAGTTTGGACACAGAAATGACAACTGTTAGTATTCTTGAATGTTCAGATTTACCAAGTTACACGTCTTGAATTGTGACAACAGCATCATTGTTTGAATTTGGCAATGAATTTTATGAACGTCAAAATATAATTCCATAAACTATTGAAAAAAGCATATATTATCATTAGATGTAGGTAAAACACTATATGAGGTAGATGAAATACTATTTTAGATAGATGAACCACTATCAGAGGTAGATGGAACACTATTAGAGGTAGATGGAACACTATTAGAGGTAGATGGAACACCACAAGAAATATGTGGAACATTATTAGAGGTAGATGGAAAACTTTTTGAGGTAGATGGAACACTATTTGAAATATATGAAATACTACTAGAGGTTGATATAACCCAATCAGATGTTGATTAAACACTATTAGGTATAGGTGGATTTTATGAGACCATATGAATATTAATAATCTGAATAACTCCCGAGAGCTTCAGCTCGAGTGAGTTATTCTATGATTATTATAGGGGCACATGAAACAAAATGGCTACATACAAGGAAATTCATATAGATATGTTGATGAAATACTATGAGATGCATACAGAGCAGTATTAGAGGTAGAACAACGGTAGACAAAACATTATTAGAGATACAAGAGCACTAATAAAGGTGATAGAACACCTATCCGGATCAGAGACCTATCAGAGGTAGAATTATTCACTATCAGATAAGATAGTGAAACATTATGAGATGAATATAGAGCAGTTTTAGAGGTAGGAAACTGGTAGATGAAACATCAGAAATACAAAACACTAATGAAGGTGAATAGAACACCTCTAGATTAGAGCTGGTAAGAGAACTATCAGAGGTAGATCAAAACACAATCAGATAAGTTGATGAAATGGTATGAAATATAGATAGAGCTGTATTGGAGGTAGAGGTAGTACACCGGTACACAAAACATTATCAGAGATAGAATAGAACATATCTAGATTAGAGCTAGTGAGGTAATTATTATGGATTGATAAAACATTATTGTAGGTTATTAAAACACTATTAGAGGTTGCTAAAACACTTTTAGAGGTTGATGAAACACTATCAGAGGTTGATAAACCACTATTAGAGGTTGGTAAAACACCATTAGATGTTGATGAAAACATTATTAGAGGTTGATAAAACACAATTAGGGATAGACCAGTATCAGAGGTGATCAAATCCGACCTAGCGATCATCATAAAACACCATCATTCCATGAACTGCTTACCTTCCCGGCGATTGGTGCACAGGCCGCCTGGCGGGCGAGTTGGGGTCCGAGTAGGGGGGCGGCGGGCCCCATACATACACCCCCCCTACCGGCGGTCGGTTGTCCAGAACGCTGTACGATCCGGTCGAGCCGGTCGTTTGGTCGTGCAGGTTGTTCGGGGCGCTCGTCCGGTTGCCGAAGCCGTACTGGCTGTCCGCGCTGCTGGTGTTGCCTTGGTACGTCAGAGAATTGTCTCTGGAAGTAGCATATACAGGGTTTGTCACGAAGAGCTCACACTATATCTTTATATATCGTGAATCGGTCGCAAGAAATTTATGAAAATGTGCATCATGCTTATATTTGAGATAACGATCTTTTCGTTTGAACTATTTTCGACAATGCAGTGTTGCCGCTCGTACTAGAAAGTAGCAACAACTTTGTTATTTCAAGCTGAATAACCCGTATTTCATCGCATTTTTAGTTTCTCCCTGACGAGCTGATTTCATCGTTATATTATATCACATTTATTGAAGTCTAGCGAGAATGATAACAGAGATTAAAGGATGTTCAAAATAGAGAATCTTCAACTTTTGGATTTTTTGTGCCGAAACTATTCATTATAGGTCATAATGACTCACATATGTCTATGTCAACTCTTGATTTATATGGAACAGATACAGGATGATCAGAATTCTCAATCGTGAATCACCGTGTATTTTTTTACACAGTTTTTACGATTATGTCGAATCTACTGGCTAAATTGTAATGACATTTTTGATGAATAGGGCGCTAGTTACACGAATGGAACCGAGAGAAAGTTCGAACATAACTTTTTTGAGGTCAAAATTTCTATTCTAAATTTCACTCTTGGTAAAACTGTATCCTTTTGTATCATGATCGGAATAATTTGCCAATACAAAACTCAGCAAAGAATAATAATTTCAATGATTTTTCGGTGTCTATACCTTTGTGTATCGTTTTGTCCGACGTTTCGACTCCATGGTAATCGTCTCCAGCTCCAACCACTCAATGGCCTTGTTCTACTGTGGCTTTCAGAGTTATTTGGAGGGCCATCTTCCGGATTTGGAGAATAGAAATTGCCGATTCGACCGGGCGCCCAAAATCTACAATAAATACAGTGTGTTAGGAATTGGGTGTAGTTGACAACCTTTTTTTTGTAATTGTGTGCATAAAAATAGGTTTTAGATCAAAAACAATATACAGGGTGTTTCAGTTTTTTGTAGCAGGACTATAACAGCTTGAAGAAGACATTTTTTCAAGATGAAAATCTCATACAAACATATATGCGTGGAAGCTTTGTTTCCGATTTACAGGGTGTCAAAGTTTCAGATTTTTTTTATGTTTCTTGAATTTTCTCCTACAATTTTCGGAATAATTGATTGAAATTTGGTACACCTAATACACTTCCAAAACTCAATATTTGAGGCTATTGAGCGTTTTTGAATACCTACAGGGTGATAGACTTTCAGGGGTCGTACCCAATTCAACCCTGTAGAACTTTTTTGCGTGCCGACTCTGCTTTCAATGGGCCATAGATTCAGATTGTCCTTTCAATTTGGAAACTTTTTGCCATCATGTAAATTTTTCGAAAACTGTATGGATCTCGAGATAAATGCCATAAATAAATTACTTGTAATAAAACCGTTATTTCTCAAATACACTTATTTGACATTTCTCGAACACTTTATTGGAAAATATAATGACCGAAAGCTTCCATACCAAATGAAATACAGTTGCAAATTTAGATTGAATTTTTTGAACACCATTATAATTGAAACTAGGAAAAACAAAGAAAAAATGTTTTTATTTCAAAAAATCTTCTCTAACTGGATTGCAAAATCTGAAATTGTATTGTAGGAAATTCTAGGACACCCTGTATAACTGAAACTGGTTAAACTTTCGATATCAGGGACTGTATGATACACGGTCTAGGCGCTATACATCATTAGACTGCCGCTTCTGACGGTTGAGGTGTTGTGAGTTTTAATAATTTAATGTCGTGAACGGCAGTTCTAATTTTATCAGTACCCTTAGAAGTGGTTCGGATTCCACTTTAATTTATCTCGAAATCCATACAGTTTTCGAAAAACATACATGAGGGCAAAAAGTTTCCAAATTGCAGAGACAATCTGAATCTATGTCCCATTGAAAGCAGAGGCGGCACGCAAAAAAGTTCTACAGGGTTAAATTGGGTACGACCCCTGAAAGTCTATCACCCTGTAGGTATTCAAAAACGCTCAATAGCCTCGAATATTGAGTTCTTGAAGTGTATTAGGTGTAGCAAATTTCAATCAATTATTCCGAAAATTGTAGGAGAAAATTCAAAAAACAAAAAAAATCTAAAAGTTTGACACCCTGTAAATCGGAAACGAAGCTCCCACGCATATATGTTTGAATGAGATTTTCATCTTTAAAAAATGTCTTCTTCAAGCTGTTAAAGTCCTGCTACAAAAAACTGGAACACCCTGTATATCTCATACCATAGATTGTCATACATAATAATGAGTTTTAGTTAACGAGTACCTATGTGGTTATAGAAAATTCAGTGTATAGTTGAGAAAAAGGCGTAGATAGCTCAGTGAATGTATATAGTAGCGAATTGGATGTAGTGGTTGAAAAGTGGGTGTACTTGAAAATGGGACGTACGAAAAAATTGGGTGTTGTTCAGGATTGGCTGTAGTTACCTGCTTGGCTATGGAAGGAAATTCTATGTAGATAAAAAATTAATTAAAATGAGAGGAACGTGAAAATTGGGTATTGTTGAGGATTGGTTGTAGTTATCTGCTTGGGTATGGATGGAAATTTCATGTAGATAAAAACTAAATATACATCAAAATCAGTTCAAGTTAACGATATTTTGATTGAAAATTGGATCTAGTTGAATGCAAAAGTAATGAATTGAATGTTACTCAAAGTGGAGTTCATTTGGTTGATATCTGGGTACAGCGAAATTATTGGCCAAAAGTTTTGCAAATGATGAGGAGTAGGTATGTGTTGATCAAAATTTGGGTGTAGTTGTGAATGAATGTATTGTGGTGAATCGGATGTAGTAGTTGCAAATAGAACATATGTGAGAATTTTGTGTAGTTGAAAATTTGGTGTGGTTCAGAATTTGATGCAATTGATTATTGGCTATAGTTGATTAGGGAAATTTAGTGAATATGTGGTATAGTTGAGAATTGGGCGTAGTTACAAACTGCTGAAAAATGATATACATAGTTCGTATTAGGAGCAACAGAAGATTGGGTGTTAATAAAAATCGAAGGTAGTTGAGAAATCGGTGTAGTGAGTGAACATCAGAAACAGGTAAAAAATTGGATGTAGTTAAATATTAGCTGCATTATGAAATATTGTCGCGAGAGAGCGAGATGTAGAAATATTTGGTTGTAGTAGAAAACTTGGTGTAGTTGATGAGTGGGTGTAGTTCAAGTATGGGCCTGGGTATTTATTGGCTATGAATAAAAATCTGATGCAGTTGTTTATTGAATATTTGAAACATATAATTCTGCGAAAATTCTGTTAATTTGTTGTAGGTAAATTGGATGTAGTTAGCAATTGGCTTTAGTATAATTTTCTCACCTTTCTGGAGGAAGGTGATTGTCCCAAGGATACACCTGCGGACCGGTAGTAACCGGGGGGTATCTGCATTCCTCGCAACAACTGCAATAGGTCGATGGAGGCAGAGATACCCCTCGAACGGAACCATGGTTGCTGGACGGGGGACCAGATTGCTGTTGGTAGAACGATCTGCAACGGAGCTCCAGCTGTTCCCAATACATCTTTTTCTTTTCGTGACTGGAAATAACGATTTTATGAATAATTAGCAGACCTCGCGCAAACGATGTTTTGCTATATAGGTACATTATTTCTATAATATATTTTTTCAGTTCAATATTCATCAATAAGACACTATTATCATTTTATTTTCTACTTCTTTTTAGTTTCGCTGCCTATCTATAAAAGCGTGTTTCTTTAGTTTTTTAAACTTCTTTTTAGTTCACTAGAATTTCCCAATTTTGACGAAAGAATCATAATATCCGACACTAAAACCACAGATATTGGATCTACCATTTTGAATTCCCTAATTTTGACGAAGGAATCATAAGTTTTGATCCCGAAAACGCCTATTTACAAATTTTGAATTGAATCGGTATATAATTCCAAAACTCGTCCGGTATATTGGTTCCACCGTCTTGAACTTCCAAATCCCGCCCTTTCCAAATTTTGACAAAATAATCATTATCTCCGACCCCGAAAACACCCAGATAACAATTTTGAAGAGAGACGGATCATAATTACAATACAGGTCCGCCAAATTGGGTCCGTCATCTTGAATTTCATAATTTTGGCGAAAGAATCATAAGTTTTGATCCCGAAAACGCCTACTTACAAATTTTGAATTGAATCGGTATATAATTCCAAAACTCGTCCGGTATATTAGTTCCACCGTCTTGAACTTCCAAATCCCGCCCTTTCCAAATTTTGACAAAAGAATCATTATCTCCGACCCCGAAAACACCCAGATAACAATTTTGAAGAGAGACGGATCATAATTACAATACAGGTCCGCCAAATTGGGTCCGTCATCTTGAATTTCATAATTTTGGCGAAAGAATCATAAATTCCGACCCCGAGAACCACCGGATACCAAATTTGAATAAAATCGGATCCTAAGCACAAAATTCACCATTCTGGATACGCCATATTGAATTTCTTAATTTTGACGAAGGAATCATAATTCTCGATCACGAAAACCCCTATAGATACCAATTTTGAAGAGAATCGGATTATAATTACAAAACTCGTCCGACATATTGATTCCGCCATCTTGAATTTCCGAATTCCGCCCGAATTTTCACATTCTAGGTTCTAAGCTACCTCCCCACCAATTTTCAGCCGAATCGATCCAGTAGTTTCGTAGCCTATTCAATACATACAAACAAACAATCAAAACTTTCCTCTTTATAATATTAGTATAGATTGGGTGTAGTGGAATAATTGGGCCTAGTGAAATACTTGGGTGTAGTTGAATAATTAGGTGTAGTGAAATGTTGGGAATTGGGCCTCACCTGAGCAGCTGATAGACGAGCATGCAGGAGAATATGCACACAAGGATTCCACTCACTGACAGACCAAACATTGCCCTGAGGCAAGAGTACAGTGCTCCATGTATTACTTCGCAGTCTGGGGTGGAATCAAAAACGTATCTCATCCCTGCAAGAAGAATATTAATGAGTTAAAGGGTGCAGAAAAAAGTTCTTATTTTTTATTTTCACGTACCGTCATCTGCTGTGGAATGAGCTTCCAAAAGGACAGAGTAACAGGTGCAGGTTCTCGTTTTTTGGGTGTAGACACACTCTCTCAGAGTTTGCAGTCTGTTCATGTGGATGACGGTTGTGGTGATAGTCACCAAGACGCATGTCAAGGCGCAAACCAAACAACACAAACCACAAACTTTGATCTGAAATACGAAAAAATTAAAACATATCCTTTGGAATAATATGGAAAGTGAATTGCTGGACAATTGAAACTGATAATTCGAATTTCTAAAAGGATTTCTGGTCGAAAGATTTTTGAAACAAATAAGTATAACTATCTAATATTTTGACTATAGTTTCTCACCAAATAACTGTATCTGTTTTTTCTTCTGGCCAAACTCATCACACAAATTCCAGTGAGGATCAACTGAAAAAAAAAGTACAGGGTGAGTGTTGATAAATTGTACCATATTTCTGAAACATATAAACTGTTTTTTCTTTGATAACATACGTGGTGGCTATTTGAAAACGAAACAGAGACTCTGTAGGTCGCCAGAACCGGATTATAAAAAAACACAGAACATATTTTCAGCGCTGCGGCGTTGCCGCTTCTATCAAGAAGTAACAAGAACTTTGTTATTTCAAATGGAATACGACCCTATTTTATTGCATTTTTAGATTCTCCCCGAAGAGCTGATTTCATCAATCTAAAACATTTGGGGCGATTTGGGGTCTAGCGGAAATAATTACAGAGATAGTGTGTTCAAAATCGAGATTTTTCAGTTTCAAGATGTTTGTGTCGAAATTATTCACTCTTGGTTGATGCCCTATCCTAACTTTTGATTTACTATCTACTGACATATTCAATTGGGTGGTTCAAGATCACCCGCTAGATCCCAAGTATGATATATTGATGAAATCAGCTCTTCAGGGTGAATCTAAAAATGCAATGCAATACAGGGTATTCCATTTGAAATAACAAAGTTGTTGCTACTTCTCGATAGAAGCGGCGACGCCGCAGCACTGGAAATGTTTCAAAACAGAGACTTTGTTTCGTTTTCAAATGATATATGGATAGTTATGGATTTTGGCAAAAACTTTTCAACAGCTTTCGATTCGTCTCACTTTTTCACGTAACAGTAAGCTACTTATTGTCAAAATCGGCTGATATATTCAAAATTGATGAATTCTAGGACCGGCTTCGAAAAATTTGCTACCAAGTTTTCATATCGAGAAGTTCAGAATGTATATGGTTTATGGTTTTTGCGGACTGTCGAGTACACAAGTAGGCAATAAAAGTGGTGTATTTGAAACGTTCAATCAAGATAAATGGACTAATGCGGCTGCAGTATTGCTGCGAGCAGGGAGGGACAATTATTTCGCTAAAATAAGGGTACAATTACCATTGTTGCAGGCACAAACGTAGGGATGGTTTCAAAGTAGCTCAAGGTGGACGTGTAGGACCTGAGAAGAAAGTATACGGCCAGGAATAGAGCTCCCAAGATGGTGGCCAAACCGCCGCAAGCACAGCACCAGAAGACGTATTTTCGGATGCCTCCATGACTGGGAGTTGCTAAAAAAAAATCGAAAGTAGAAATCAATTGTATTTCAGAATAGTAGCCCTTTATGAATTCAATGAACATGTAATAACTGCTCTGGATTGCAAGTTCCATATCTGCGGGTTGTTCATAGACTTTTCAAGAGCTTCTAGTATTAAAAATGGAGCGATACGGTATTAGAGGAATTGCCTTGGAGTTGATGAGGTCTTCTTTGAACGACAGAACCCAAAAAGTACTTATCAAAAATGTTGAAATATATAGAACACACTGTAACTTCAAGCAAACCTGTCAATATTATTGATATACTTTTCATGTCTAGTCTAGAAGGCAAAAATAGAGTTGTCATGGAAGTTGTTAAAACAAAAATAACAGTTCAGTTGAAAGAATAAAAATTCTGTATGATGTTTTTTGATGAAGAATTAAATGTATAAAAACACACTCTTCTAGAATCGTTTTAATCAATTCTTAACATTGGTTATGGGCCCAGAAGAAAGGAGAGTGTGTTCAAGTAAAGGAAAGTAAAAGTTAAATAATTGGGTCGAAGATAGAAGATTGAAGTAAGAAGAAAAGGAAAAATGGAATCAGGAAATGAAAATAAATATGGGATTGCTCCTTTCAATGGAAATGGATTTGATAATTGGAAATTCAGATTGTATTCAGTAATGAGAGCTATGGAATTAAGTGAAGTTCTGAATGGAGCAGGAAGCAGTCAAAGAGATGAAAATTGGCACAAGAAGAATAATAAAGCATGTATGGTAATAATACAGAGTATAGCAGATTCACATTTGGAGTACATCAAGGAAATTGATATGGCTTTTGATATGATAAACAAGTTGGAAAGAATTTTCACTAAGAAAGGTACCTGTTCAAAGTTTTATTTATTGAAAGAGATAACAAGTCTCAAGTATAGTTATAATACTGATTTACAAGATCATTTTTCTAAATGTGACAGAATATTTAGAGAATTGAAGAGTTTAGGAAGTAATTTTGATGAATCAGATATATCCTGTTTTCTCCTGCTTTCAATGCCTAATGAGTTTGAAAATGTGGTGACAGCTATCAGAACAATGTCAGAAGATGATTTGAAGTTGGAATTTGTGAAAAGTAAGCTATTAGAATTCGATATGAATGCTAATTCGAACAAATTTATGAAAGAAAATGTAGCTCAGTCATTTGCGGCCACACAGAGACAAGTTAAATGTTTTAAATGTGGTAAAACGGGCCATATGAAGAATGTTTGTGGCATCAAATGTTTCATTTGCAATAAATTTGGTCACCGTTCAGTACAATGTTATCATAACAGGGGAAAAGAATCAAATAGAAGTAATAAAGCCAATTATGCTGAGGGTGAAGGCGAGGCTTCAGGTGTGTCAAAGTCAGAAGATGAAGATGTTGCTTTTTCTGCTATGTCCAGTCAGTTTTCTACTGAGCTTTCAGCAAACAGCTCAGTATGGTATGCAGATTCTGGTGCTACGCATCATTACATGAATAATGAAGATGGATTGGTGAATAAAAGGAAATTTGCAGAACCAAGATCGATACAGCTAGCAGAAAAAGGAAAGTTTATGGAGGCAACATGTGTAGGTGATGTAGAGGTAGTGAGTCAGGTGAAGAATAAAAAGATACCAATTACTTTGAAAAATGTATTGTGTGTTCCAGGGTTAAGGGTAAACTTATTGTCAATTTCTGCTATTGAAAAAGCTGGTTTTGAAATCTATTGTTCAAAAGGCAAAATTATTATTAAGAGAGGTGAAAATGAATATGTTGAGGGTGATCGCACAAATAATTTGTATAAAATATGTTTTGATGTCAAAAGTAATGAATATGCAAATTTAGCTGAAACTAAAGAACTGTGGCATAAAAGATATGGTCATTTGAATTATAATTCCATATCAAAAATCAGAAATATGAATTTGGTTGATGGTGTACATTTTACAGAGATGAAAAATGATGAAATTTGTGAAATTTGTGTCAAATCTAAACAAAAATGTTTTCCATATTACTCAAAAGTATCAAGATCAAGTAGAGTTTTAGAAATGATACACACAGATGTATGTGGTCCTATCACACCAATATCTCGTAATGATAATAGATATTTTGTTACTTTTGTGGATGATTTTTCTAGATTTGTAATGGTTTATGTTATCAAAAGTAAAGATGCAGTTTTTAATTGCTTCAAAGATTATGAGTCCAAAGTAACGTCACAGTTTTGTGGTAAAAAGATATTCAAACTAAAGTGTGATAATGGAGGTGAATATCGATCAAAGTTATTGTTAGATTTTTGTGCAGAAAAAGGTATTCATATATTTCTTACACTCCACCTTATACTCCTCAACTCAATGGAGTTGCTGAGAGAATGAATCAGACTCTAATGAATCTAGCAAGATCAATGATAATGCAGGCTAATGTAAATAAGTTTTTTTGGGAGGATGCTGTGCTAATGGCAGCCTATATAGCAAATAGAACACAGTCTTGTTTGATAAGAGAAAAAACGCCCTATGAATTGTGGCTGAATAAAAAACCAAATGTTTCAAATATGCGTGTTTTTGGCTGCATAGCTTATGCTAGAGTTCCTGATGCTTTAAGAACGAAGTTAGATGATAGAGGAGTTAAGTGTAGATTTATTGGGTATACAGACAGTGGTTATAAGTTATGGCAAGAAAATAAAAATAAATGCATTCACTGTAGAAATGTTGTATTTGATGAAAATAATTTTTTATATAAAAAAAAGTAATGAAGTTGAGAGTAAGAGAAGTGCAAATCAGGAAGTACAAGAGTGTGATAGTGTAATAGATTTTCATCTTGAAAAAAGAGATGATGATAATGATGTTGATAATATTGAGAATGAACTTCTGAATGAGCCTAATGTGATTGGAGTGCCTGGTAATAATGAAAGAAATCAAGAAAATGTTAGGTTGAAAAGAGAAAGAAAAATTCCATCTAGATTTGATGATTTTGAAATGAATATGAGCTGTTTAGCATTGCTAAGTGAATTTTCAGATAGTCCCAAGTCATATTCAGAAGCTAAAGGTGGGTCAAAGTGGGATAAGTGGGAAAAAGCAATTGAAGATGAATTAAATGCATTAAAAGAAAATGAAACATGGGAACTTGTTGACCCATCAGGCTATGAGGAAATAATAAGTAATAGGTGGGTTTTCAGAGTTAAAGAAAACGATGAGAATAAACCTGTATATAAGGCACGATTGGTAGCGAGGGGTTTTGAGCAGAATAATATTGACGATCTTTCATCAATACATGCTCCTGTTGCAAGACTTTCGACAATGAGGATTTTCTTAACTATTGTGACTAAATATAATCTGTTTCTAGAACAATTGGATGTCAAAAATGCATTTCTCAATAGTGACATAAAAGAAAAAGTGTATATGAAAATTCCAGAGGGTCTCAAAGTTTCTGAAAATGATAAAAATAAAGTGTGTTTATTGAAAAGAGCCATTTATGGCTTAAAACAAGCCCCTAAGGCATGGAATGAAAAATTCAATAGTTTCATGACAAATTTACGTTTTGAGAGATCAAAATCTGATTATTGTTTATATTCTTTTCTTGGAAGTGATATACGATGTTACTTACTCCTCTATGTAGATGATATCCTGATAACTTGTAATGACAATAATTTTATGAGCTATTTGAAAGAAAAGCTGTTTGAAAGTTTCAAGATGAGGAAAATGAATAGTAGCAGCAAGTATAACTTTTTAGGAATAAGAATTTGTAGAAATCCAGACAATAAACAGATGACTCTTGATCAATATTCAGCAATTCTAAATATAATCAAAAAGTTCAATGTAGAAAACTGTAAAAATTTCAAAACACCTATGGAAATTAATTTGAATTTGGAAAGGAATTCTAATTCAAATGATCATACTGTATTACCTTATAAAGAACTTTTAGGTAGCCTTATGTATATCATGATGGGCTCACGGCCTGATATTTGCTTTAGTGTTGGTTATTTTGGAAAATTTCAAGATTGTCCTACTGATGAGCATTTCAAGCATCTTTTGAGAGTATTGAAATATCTAAAATCAACTATTGATTATAAATTGCACTTCTATCATTCTGATAATGAGTTAGTTTGTTATAGTGATGCCGATTGGGCAAATGATGTTAATGATAGAAAATCTATAAGTGGTTATTGTTTCAAACTATTTGATAATTTGATTAGTTGGAGTTCTAAAAAACAAAATATTGTAACACTGTCAAGTACTGAATCAGAATTTGTTGCAGTTTGTAGTGCATCTTGTGAGTTAATTCACATAAAGAATTTGTTGAATGATTTGAAAATTGATGTTTCTCTCCCAATTCAGTTATTTGAAGATAATCAAAGTACCATCAAACTGCTTCAAAATTTTGAAAATAATAAGAGATGTAAACATATTGATGTCAAACTACATTTTATTTTAGATTTGATCAGTCAAGGAATTATTAAAGTTGATTATATATGTACAAATGAACAATTAGCTGATGTGTTTACCAAATCTTTATGTTATGATAAGTTCAGTCGATTTGTGAAATTGTTGAATGTGAAAAATTGAAAATCTAAAATCTATTTTTATAGACTGCCAGGTTTGAAGGTGGGTGTTGAAATATATAGAACACACTGTAACTTCAAGCAAACCTGTCAATATTATTGATATACTTTTCATGTCTAGTCTAGAAGGCAAAAATAGAGTTGTCATGGAAGTTGTTAAAACAAAAATAACAGTTCAGTTGAAAGAATAAAAATTCTGTATGATGTTTTTTGATGAAGAATTAAATGTATAAAAACACACTCTTCTAGAATCGTTTTAATCAATTCTTAACAAAAAATACTCAAAGCCAAGTAGCAACTATCGAACAAGGTGTACCACAAGGCTCCATACTCTGGCCTTTATGTTCTTTAGTATATACTGATGACTTAATCAACTAGTTTCAAGCTCTCTCATCCGTGCAGGTGATCGCATGATGAATAAGAAGAGAAAGGAGAATAATAATAAATAAAGAAAGTAGTTGAACGAGAGAATAAGATTTTACAATTTCAACGAAAATACAGTACATCCAAGAAATATTCAAGACTATAATTAATTCACGATTTTGCCCGAAAATTCAATATGTAACAATCGCTTTGGCTGATTTCAATTAAACTTTCACAGTTTGTTCATATCTAAATAAGGAATCTTTAATATGTAACAGGTGGGTCAGAATAAGTCATCCGATGTTGTTTGGCTCTTATTTTTTTTTAAATGAAAAACTTCGTTTCTGTTTTTTGATTATGTTTATTTGAACCTTAACATACCTGTTAAACCGGTAAACATAAATCAAAAAACAGAATCGAAGTTTTTTATTTTGAAAAAAAATTAGAGCCAAACAACAATGGATGACACTTTTTGCCCAGCTTGAATATGTTACAGTTGATACAGCTATTTCAAGGCCATACACACGGAGCAAGTCTGATTCACGCACAAAAAAAAATATTTAGTAATTTTTATTAATTTTTTTAGTGAAGCCTATACTCTAAGTCCGAGTCTATGGCCTACTCAGAATACAACTTTTTTGGTTCTTGAGTTTTTTGTAAGTTGCTTGTTACTCGGTTACAACTCCTCAAACTTTTTTTAATCGTTTATCTGTGAGACCAAACATATTTTCTTCGTTGTCCAATATGATTTCAAATTATGATCGATGAAATTAAGTGGGCGAAGCGAGAATTATTGTCTTCTGTATCGTGGTATATGTACTTATATTATTTTTTCAAGTACTAGCACATATTTTCCCAATATGAATAAAGGTTTCTCTCTCGGTTTTTCTTCATCAAAATCCTCACTTCTTAGTGAATACCCAAAATTTTATATTTGAAAGTAATTGATTGATATTTTAAATGATAATCAAATTCAAATCACTTCCAAGGGAGGTAAAATAAATTGAATTATCAAATAGTAGGCGAGTATAAATATTATTGAAAAGAAGGATTTCCAAGATAGCATAGGTACATATATAATAAATGTGTGTTCAAGATCCATACGTATCTATTATACAATCATTATCAATTTCTAAAGAAGAAACCTGACTGTTGGCATTATGACTTACCCGCATGTGGTAAATGATGAGGGTACGGTGGTAATGAGGGGGGAATGTGGTACTGAACCACCTGCATCACAGGGTATCCATGCATATTTAAAGCTGTCTAATTTTCACACACGCAGCTGGACAGATTAAAAACGTAACTTATTGTCATCGTATTGGAAGTCATGATTTTTGTACATTGTTTGTAGGTTGTCACTTTTATCACTATTTTTTTTTCACGGTCTCAAGTGTCTTGGGGAATGCTCCCCTCTGTACTTGTCAGTTTTTGCATGGAGACTATATTGTGCATGGGAGTGTTAGATGAATTTTGATTTTGGAGGGATGTGACATCGAGAGCAGGGGCGGACTCGAGAATTTTCGGCCCATTCTAAGGCTAGGTGGCTTATAATTTTTTCCATCAAATCGTGTCATAGTGATGAGTTTCGAAATTAGTCAATCTTTCAACATACATACTGCTTGAGACTGATTTTTATTTCATTGCTTCATTTTATACAGTGCTTTTTTTAATGTCCACCCCCCTGTTTATATTTTGAACGGGTGAACTCATAAAATTGAAACTTGGGATAATGGAATGGATGCATGAATACTATATTTTGGAGTAAAATTCGAGTAAAATTGACAGATGAAAATTTCAAGATTGCGACCGGGCATATACTCAAGCAGTAATTGAGGTTTTCAAAATACCTAAAATACATTTAAAATCATTATAATGGATTTGAAATAATTGAGAAGGATTTAAGAAGTATTTAGAGTATTCAAAGTATTCATGCAAACGGTGATTAAGATATTGGAAATGTACTGAAGAGAATGACAAATTAATTAATAGAAATTAAAAATAATTCAAAGTATTTGGAAATTTAAAATTCAGGGTGTATACACCATATTCAAAGAGTTGTTTGCCCCTCGTGTTTTTGTATTCAGGCAACTATATGTTCCGCCATTTTGTATAGTAAGTAAAGATATTGACTTTATAGGTATTCTGGGTTGTAAAGTACTCCTCAGGAGTTGCAAAAGGATTTATCACAACCCCCCCCCCCTTCCATTTATTTTTTTTTCTCAGATAATATGGCTCCCAGTTGCCATCTTGAAATTTTCATCTGTCAATTTCACACCACATTTCCGGACCTACATTTATGGAAACTTTTTTTCATAAAATGATCTGAAGAATCACCACCATGAATATTGCCGCGGAATTTTTCAACACACTGCTCAAAAAAAATATCAGATTTTCACTTAGCTTTCGACGAATCTGCTCCCGTTTTCAACATAAAAATGGAAAATATTTTTCTCGCAGTCATCAGGAATTAGTTTTGACACTTCTCTGATAAAAAGGAATTGAACGCAGTGACATTTTGGGGCAAACCATCTGTCATCACTACACGTATATTGAAATAATAGGTACTCATATTTTTATTTTATGGAAACGAGGAGAGAAAACTCCAAAACAATCTGGAATAATCAAGTTTTTCAACCCTGATGACATTTTGGATCCAACTCTGGCGTTCGAAACGTCGTCATAGCGACGCCGCGAGGATAGTCGATATTTCCACCCCCCAACCCCTCCGTTTCAACCCCCTACCCTCCTGTATATCTCATCCACTTAGGCCGCAGGACATTATTTCGTCGATGAGGTTATCGAGTTAGACGTCAATCCGGTACGATTGCACCGATTCCATGTTTTCCACTTGTTACCCTAAACGGCCTAAACTAATTGAAAAGGGGGTAGACGACGCGATAATCACTGGCGAGAGAGGGGTAGTACAGGTGTTTTAAGGGTGGCGCGCGAATTATTTGAAATTGGAATGTAACGCAGACTTTTAAAAAATAGTTATTTTCCTACCAAGTGCGCAAAGTTTCACTTTTCCGAACGCAAATACAGTTAGGCGAACGACGCGGAACGGAGTTCGAATCAGTTTTTGCGGGCGGAAAAGACACTTTGCGCACGTGTTAGGAACAACGTTTTTCCTAGGAGCTTCAAATCAGATAAAAAGGAAAATAAAAAAAAATCATCACTCATTGAGAAATGTAACTATTAAACAATCACATATAACAATAAAATATAATAATAGAAATTCACATTTTCCCTATACGAGCTTTATATCAGATAACAACGAAAATTAAAAAAAATCAACAATAATTACAATTGATTGAATAATTTTTTAGTTAACCTTGATAGAAACAGCTAAACACCAATTAATTACATATCAATAAAATATAATGATAGAAAATTAAATCATTTGTGCGGATAACACCCATATCCGCACTGAGTGCTGAACAGTACTACTATGCGCACGCTCGTAGGAAAATACATTTTTCAATTCCCTCCTGATTCAGGATAAATCCGAATGGGCGAGTGGGCTTACTTGTGTTTGAAAACAACCCGTATTCATGGCTTCACTGAAATTTAGGATATATTTCCTCAAAGAAAGGGTGTGCCTTTCACAATTTGTTTTATGGTAGTATATTCTTTATAATGTTGACAAATTTAAATGTTCTGATTCCGTCAAAACAAAACACCTCTTGAATAATATTTTCAATGATCAGTATGATTCAATTAATTTCTGCCAGATGAACCCGAAAATGATCATGAAAAACAACTCACCCATCCTCACGCGCACCCTAGAACTCAAACTGCCCTCGTATCTGGGCCTGGGCGGGGGACGGGGCGGCAAAGCGGGCGGCAACGGAGACACCTCAATCCTATCATCGGCCTCCATCTTCCTCCCCTGCCCGCACTGCTCCAAGTCCCCTCCATCCTGCTCCTCCCTCACATGACAAGTACACGCCCCCGCCCCGCCCTTGGGCGTGGCCTGCAACTTATGGGGAGCGTGGTCTAGATTCAGGCGGGCGTGGCGGAGGTCGGGGGGCGTGTCCGAGGGCGGTTTCTCCGCGCAGGTGCAGGCGTGGACGCGGCCCAGCAGGCCATGGTCGCTTGCGTCGCTCGACTGGTAGGCGTGTTCCGACTTTTGGGGGTCGGGCGAGGGCGTGGACATGATGGGCGGTGGGCGTGACTACATGGTCGTGGAGTAGGCAATTCTGAGAACAATATAATTGGCGATAGAAAATAAGCGAACGCCATCTATCGGAGTTCTCGAAAGCTGTCAAAGCGGCCTGTTTACTTTGTTCTCATTGGTTCACATTTGTTTTTTTTGTTTTTATTGGTCATATCATCAAAACAAACCGCTGAGAAATGTTCAAGTTCTTGTATCGCGAATAGACGGTATAATATGATGATCGATGAAAGAGTGATCGATACTGATATGAATACGAATGAGTTAGCTATATGATGATCAAGTTATATCAAGCCTGCAATGATATTGATTCGATGAATCGAGCTCCAACATGTGGTCTTTTTTATGATAATACAATCATGATCTTATATTTATTTTCGAATTAAATGCTTGAATTTTTTTGCCACCCACAGTGTTTCTTCGAGGTTTTTCTCTGAATTCACAATCACAATTATATATACATCACTATCCCTTCACGGCCCTAACGGATCCACTGGAAGTCGAATCTATCGAATATTGCAACTGATCATAGCCCGCCTTGATGCTGTTTCATCTATTTTCAGAATTTTTCATTTTTTTTTGTATTTTCAACTTTAATATCATGTATCTTGTGAAGGAAAAGTGAAGTAACATACCTATTATGGAATATTAGTGGTATGATTGAACGTCATCAAAAACAGAGCATTTTTGTTCCTTTTGGATTTAGGATTAATTTTCATGTATATTGTGTTGCCTATCCATGAACATGAAAGTTTGAATTATGCTTGTCGGCGCAACAACGCAACTGCCTCTTTAGCTCAGTGGTAGAGCACTGGTCTCGTAAACCAGGGGTCGTGAGTTCAATCCTCACAGGAGGCACGTCTTTTTTTAAATTTTTCTACCAATGTTTTTTTTACAAAATTAAATGTCTAGTACCTATATAGTGTGTCATGTTGGTAAACTTATATCTTCATCGTTTTTTATTATAACAATTATTATATCTGCTTATAATAGCTATTTAATCAGCTGACTGCAGGGTTTGGTTCATATTATCAATTTGACGTCAAAAAGTATTAAAGGTAAGTATATGAAGGTAGGTTAATATATTTTTCAAATAACCATCCCAAGAATATACAGGGTGTTTAATATTTTGTGGGGCTCAATTCAAGAGGTAATATGCTCCGTATAAATATGGGGCGACCCAAAAATGAGTTTCGTTCAATTGCGTTCAATTACTACAGAACTGCTCAACAAAAATTAGTCAAATTTTGGAAATAACAATCGAATATGTACCCATGATGTCCCTCTCTCGGTCCCTTTCAATAGTTTTCGGATATATCTTTAGAGCTGCTTGAGACGATCAGGTGTCACATTTTTCTCGGTATGTGCCTCGAAGATTTTCGAAGTCTAAATTCCAATACAAAAGTAAATAAGGGATTTTTTTTATTCCCACGGCAGAACAGGTAAACAGGTAGGTATAGGTCGTCTGATGAAAAGACTTCAACGGTGCGTTAGACAAGTAGCACTTAGTAGCAGTTATGCGCCAAACAAACAAATAATATAATGGTCAGTACACATCAGTGGGAGATTCTCGGAGTTCAAAACAGTTTTAAACCCTATTGTATCATTTCTATGGCTATATCACTTGCTCTCTTACCTTGCAGATCTCCGACATTGAGGTCGAACTATTATTATTTATTACCTACCTGTGTTTTAATAGCCCCTATAATTTTACGTATATCTATATACAGGGTGTCTCAGGTTTAACTCGTCTATTTTTGACAATCGATAGCAAAAATCAAAATATCATACACGTATTATTTTGTTTTGTCGTGGAGATAGTTGTTTTTATTATACGGAGTGTTAAAGTTCGCATACAATTTTGGTTTTTATTTTTTATCTCTGTTGAAACGAAACCTAGCGATTTGAAATTTGGTGAGCATTTTTCTATTGGCAATATGAACAATTCTTATCAGTACAGAGTAACCACTACAATTTTTATTGATCATTTTGAATATTCAACAACGTCCAAAGCACACAATGATAACTTTGTTCAATGATACCAATCGAGTCCCCTCTATAGATAAGGACTGTTCATATTGCCGATAAAAAAATGATCACCTAATTACAAATCGCTATGGCTAGGTTTCATTTCAACTGAGATAAAAAATGAGAACAAAAATAGTGTATGGGAACTTGACACCCCGTATAATGAAAACAAGTTTCTCCACGACAAAACAAAAAAATAAGTACCTATCTAATATTATAATTTTTGCTATCGATAGTCAAAGTAAGACGAGTTAAACCTGAGACACCCTGTATATATAGGTATGGTGTATATATTGCTCGGGTATTGTTTGAAGGTCTATATTATATGATCTTTTAAGCACCTATACCTACAAAGTGTGACCAAGATAATGTTGCACCAGCCTGATGGGGATCTCATACCAAAAAAGGCCCTCGGAAATTTTCAAAATTGTTTACATTAGGGGTTTTCAGAGAATTTTTGAAAAATCAATTTTTTTGTCCGTTATTGTTAGAGATACAGAAAAACTAAAATTACTTTTCCAAAGCAACTGTTGATGAGATTTAACGTGGTGGTCAACTTATTTTTTTTCCAAATACGGTCCTGATTATGTGTTTATTTATTCAGAATTCAACCATGTCGTATTACCCAAAGTGGTTTCAATGTGTTTCGACTTAGTTTTAACCATCTTCAATGATCTTGGTACCACTTATTTCTGTCTATACAGTATACATATTATCTTCATCAGAGTTTAATTGAGATCATTTTGAATTCATAGAAACTTACCAAATTTTCCAAGACATGGGTCCATTAACTTTTTGAAGCACTTTTTCCATTTCCCCTACATTACTGCAACCAGTGCAACCAGCAATTGCCATAGACATAGAACAGCGATAACCAAGCACCATCATACAGGAAACGGGAAGAAGAAGGCAATCAATTGTGAATTATACCAACATTATACCTAACAACTAAAAACCGTTGCGAATATGTGTGTACCCAGCAAATGCACTATGCACCCAGAGTTCAAGCAACCCGAAACCGATTTGTTTACAGTTCTTCCTCGTTATGGGAATAAAAGACATTCCCGCACGCAACATGTGGTTGTTAGGTATACCGAAATTGCCAAAAACTGATGTCGGGTTGAACCGTACAAAAGAAAAAGACCTCGGGTCGGGATCAGTCTCCTTCGAACGCGGATACCTCTCTTTCTTTTCTCTACAAGAAGAATTCTATTTACCTCCTTCTTCAGAATTACATGCCTGCATTTTGGTAGCGGTCAAACGACTTGAACTCTTATCTCAGGTTAGGTTAAGAACGTTTATCGTTTCTGACGAACTCGAAGAATGTCTTGTAAGTTGTTAGTGGGTTGACTAACATGGTAGGCCTTGGAATGTCATCCCTTCCATTGGTAATAATTGTTCTTCGGTTCTGCTTTTGAATTCGAAGTTGAACCTGATGGCTACGGCACGGCTGCCTGCTCCTGATGATCATGCCATGTGGGCACTGGGCAATGGGCATTCTGCTAGGGTGCTATAGGTAGGTATATGATAGCTAATAATGAGCTATGTAGTATCCTAGCTCCTATTATACCTACCCTACCATAGAAAAGTTCGTAAATCGCGCTAGAAAATAAGCTCACGGAGCATGCGGAGCTTATCGGAGTTTTTGAAAGATTTCAATACGGTCTGACTCTGTTTTCATTGGTTGACATTTGTTTTTTGTTTGTGATAATTGGTCGATCCCTCAGAACAAACCGCTCAGAAGTGTTCAAGTTGTAGCCGTTAGATGGGGCGACGTGTTATTTTCTATCGCGACCAACAGAACTGCCACAGTGCCACCAGAGATTAGGGTGGATTAGGGGAGTGTATAATCTCTGGTGCCACTTATTAACAAAATATACCACATACCGACATGGATGATAAGAATTTCCTGGACCTAAATTCTAAATTATTAACTAGGAACATCTCCCTATTGTTTCATGCTGATCGACAAGATGGCGACCCCCTGAAATAATTTACCTGACGAGTCAAACATAATATTTAAAATTTCGAAGCAATTTCCTTACCTTCTTAGGGCCTTGCTCTATAACTCTATAATAATTCATGATAACTCAATAACTGTTCGGGTTCGGGTCTGGACTATGCAACCAGTCATACAGCAGTGCAGCAGCTGCAGGGGCAATTTGGGGGCAATCAATAACAGAGTAGTATCGAAAAAATTTGAGTCAATTGATTGGTGATTGGTGAATGGTGATGACAACTGCACTGGATACTGATACAGTATGATGCAGTAAATAACAGTACTGGTATCTTTCTCATGGTAGTAAGAGTTTCTACAATTTTGGTATCAGCTGCTCTATTACTACCTATTTTTATATTATGGCTATAATAAGGAATTTGAATGAATCTTGAAATTTGAAGTACTGACCTGTATTCAGTGGCCAACTGCCATGTGGATTTGTGTGGAAGTATGAAGGAAGTAGGCACTGACTGAAGTAGCCGTTGCCGTTTTGTTTTGACTGAATGCCGAAGCAATGGTTTCGACTCGTGGTTTTGACTAAATTTTATAGTTTTTTGAGTGTTTTGTGTTTTGCTTTTGCTGTTTTATTTCGCCTTTTTGTGGTGCAAGTACATATTTATTATTTTTCTCCAACCATAAGCCATAAGCTTGAATTCCAATCAGAAACAGGTTGTTTTTGACCTGTTGTTTTCAATACCTATCATTTTTTTGTCTCGTAGTTTTGTGTTGATATGTGTTCCTAATGTTGAAACAGAATAATATGTTATAAATTCGAATTGGTACTACCACGAATACTACATAACCGATTATTTATTATCAAGGTGAGGTTACAATCAATTTGACAGGAAGTACCAAAATGATGACCATATTCTTCAACAGTCCTTGATAATTTCTGAATTTAGTAACAAAAATCCAGGCTACACTCTACTTTAGAAGTTTGAAATAATAGTTCTCTAGATTTTAGAAAGATTCAATTTTATTCTGTACCTATAATGACCTAATAAATGTACTTCCTGTAGGTACCTAGATTAGACTTCACACATGGATGCATGATCATTGTCCTTTTGATATTCAAATGAATCTGTAAAAAGACTAACAAGAGCAAAATACCATTATTATGCTGTATCCTGGAATATACTTGATAGATAATGGAGATTTTTTCTGTTTTTAGATCTGTAGAAGTAGGTACCTAGATAAATGTCTTTCGAAAAGAGCCATACCTATGAAGCCCTAAACCGGATTGGCAGGGGTAAGAGAGTTATTATTTTGAGCATTGGACTTTACCCAAACTCACCTTCACTTATAGTTTCCAATTTTATTATGATATAACAGTTATCCTCTAGCTATCTCACACAAAAATGTTCTTACAAAATGATTTGCAGGTGCCTATGGAACTGTGTACAAGGCCAAAGACAAGAAGACTGGCAACGATGTGGCCTTGAAAAGGGTGTGTGTGCCCCTGTCTGAAGATGGCATTCCCATGAACACTCTGAGGGAGATCTCATTGCTGAGACAGCTCAACACCCATGACCATCCCAATATTGTGCGCTTGCTAGATGTCTGTCATGGGCAACAGATGGAGAGAGAGCTCATCATGTATCTGGTTTTTGAACATGTAGAGCAGGTATGACTTAGTTTTCAGTCTCCATCCATTGAAGAATAGAATAGAATTGAATTTTATTTTGTCCACTGAATGTCACAATACAGGTAAGTACAATACATTATGGGACACATCACAAACAGATGAGCTAGTTCACTTATTGGTACAATAGGAACCTGGTATGATAAAATAATAAAAATAATTTCATCATTTGCTAATTAAAATAACAGATCTTAGGCTGAAGCTTCATTACAATTCAAAGTTTTGGAACATTTAAATTGGTATTAGGCCCTATGTTCATAGTTCATAATAAAATTACAAATATCCAAAATGTTATGAGAATTGACTATATTTACAAGGATTGCAATTTTTCTATTGGTATCTAAGATCAAAAACTGTTGATTTATGAATTTTTGAAAATAAGAGAGCAAGCAAAACTTCTTGGACCCTTCCTCTTTCAAAATTATTATAATTATTGATATTGACAAAAAACAATGCAGCCATCTTAAACAATGCATTTGACAAATGACACTCAATTTGACACTAACAGCTGTCAACAAATAGAACATGGATATGTTCCATTAATCAACCAAAGTTACTGATGTTTAGGGCCTTTACCAACAATTTTGACAATGGTTATCTACTGGTGATTAGGGTTGTGGTTTGTGGTTTATTTACAGAATGCCAGTCATTTGTCAAATTATGGTTTTGATTGTTTTTCAAATATTCATGCTCTGTCAGTATTTGATTTTCAATTATGGCACCCAAAAGTCCCTAATTCTTGTGCACAGTAAGCACAAACAATGGATGTAGTGCCCTGAAATAGAAAAAAAGTCATCAAACTGAAAATATATGGAATATTATTGATTATACAAGGTGTTCTTGAAATAAGTACATATAATCAGCACATCCATATGATACAGTCTAACGATTATTCCCATGATATCAGATTTTTCCTAATTCTTCTAATTCAAGAAATTGGACCCTGCACTTTTAGTACATAAAATGGTTCTCCGTGAAATTTTCTGAATTTTCAGTATGTTGTAGAATTCTATGAACTGATTGAACCTGCAGAATCGTAAAGTTCTTTGATGAATAGATTCTGAGATACAGGGCGTTGAAGTTACAAATCGGTATTTTTCATTTAATTATTTTCTCGAAATTCAAAGATGCCAAGTACAATTTTTTTCGCTCATATCATCAACGAACCTCCATATTACTCAACATAATTCAGATGGTTCAGATAATGTAAATGTTTACAGAGTGAAACATATAAACATTTCAGTGATGTCTGAAAATTCCATATAATAATGAAATATCGAAAAAATAATTTAGGCATGCAATATACTATTCTCATTCCATCATGAATCACAATTCATACATTTCATACAGGGTGATATGACAAATTGGTGACACCTAAGACCGATTTATTCATACACATCCTGTATATTCGAGTGAATTGTTAACCTCCCAAGATAGCTGATACCATATGAACATGATTTCGTTGAGATATATAGGGTGATCATGAAGATTTTCGATGATGAGAATGACAAAAAATTGTGTTTTTTGAAATCACCCTGTTATTCATGATTAACTCGGTGAAATTCCCTAATTATTATTTAATATATTCATCATTCGCTCCTCAACGCTGTCTTGAAAATTCAGTTTCCTATCATGACGGGTGCATGAACAGTTGAAGAGACTTGTTCACTTACATTCGCATAGTGGCCGATATTTTTCACAAATAGTGAAACGTGAGAATGTGGAGACGAGAATAAGTTTAGTATTCATATACAGGGTGAACATTAGAAATTCAATAACAATAGCAGATATATGAATTGAATAATATCAATATAATGTACAGATAGGCGAATTTCGTTGGTATACAAGCTCTGCCAAAATGAAAAACGAACAATACCTAGGAGATGAGAGAATGATTCGGTCTTTCACGCTTCCATTTCTAATAGGGACAGTTGAATCCTGGAATCGACAGTTTTTTTCCACTTTTTACCAGCCTGCTACTTTTCGTCCTAGATGAAGTTTTATACATAGTGTGATATTAGTCACTCCATGAATTCTTCACCTAGTTGGATTTCTGAAAATATATTTAGCACACATGACATGAGCAGTAGTTTGGATACCCACATCGAGGTTTTCACCATTTCTCAATCATAAGGCTCTGCTCATTCAGCTTGAAATCAGAATCAATTCAGTCAATTCAGTCAATTCAGTCAATAAGAACAGTCTCTTTTGGTGATATATATGAAGCTCTGAGTACAATTTATATGTTCCCTACCTCGCAAAGATTATGCTTGAGTAGTGAAATCTAAAACTAGAGGAATGTTCATCTATATCTTGGTATAGTAGAAAGTAGTAGAATTCCATGTGGAAATTACGTATGAGTACTAGTCATATAGTAATAACTTTAACAATAGCTTTACCTTTATGATTAAGATTTATATTTTATGGATACGCCAATGACCTCAATTTAACCTTAAAAACAACAAATGTCAAAAATAAAATGTTTATCCCCAGAAATGAATAAAGATGGAACTATATAACTGTTTCACAAACACTTCAGAGTGAGAGGAGACGAGGATCTGTCCGTACCCTGTTGGGACGACAAATACATCAGTTTGCATCAAGGGACTCTCGCCGTAGGTGAAGGAAAAAACAGTTATGATTTGTTTGTGTCATGTCAAATAACTGCGTTTTTTTTTCAACACTGATGACTCCAACAATTCCATGCATCAGAGAGTGAAGTCACTTCCATCAATGATGAAAATGTGGTGTAAAAAAGAACATGTCTACTATTTCACACCGATGATTCCAGGATCTGTCGACGTACATCGAGCGTCACTCGAAGGGCTTCAGTGGCGTGCAGATCAGGAGTCTGTCGCGGGAGATTTTGAACGGGGTGGACTTCCTGCACAGCAACCGCATCGTGCATCGCGACCTGAAGCCGCAAAATTTGCTGGTGACGCACGACGGTCACATCAAGTTGGCCGATTTCGGGCTGGCCAAAACCTACGATTTCGAGATGAAGTTGACTTCTGTGGTGAGTGATGGGGGGTTCTTGGGGTGAGGGGGTCGAAGGACCATATAGGGTTGAATAGGTAGACCAGAAGATTCCTTTTCTATTACGTGTATTCGTCAATTTGTTATAATAAACTTGAGAACAGACAATACTAATCAAAATTGAGGATATTGACAACTTGTCAGAACTATTTCGCGAGATTCACGAAGTGGGCGACATCTAGGTTACATAATATGAACTTCAAACTGGGGGAAAACAAACTGTTGTCTATGGATAAAGTGCATAGACTACATTGCATTCAGCTTGCTGTAGCTGTAGTCAAACTTGTCAATGACATCAAGTGTTGACACTGTTGGTAGTGAACAGTGAACGGGTGAAGAATTGGAGATAGTAGTTAACAGTAATTTTCATTTTTATTTTCCCAAAAGCAAATAAGTTATAGGAGCAAGTCACTTTGTTAGGACAGTTGGAATAATAATAATAATAATAATTTGTCTTTATACACACATTATAAGAATGCAAGAGGCTGCTCTTCCATTCAAAATACCTCTCCCCTGGCTTTTCTCAACCCTAAAAAAATAATCAGAAATGTATGCTCAATTCAAATAACATATTTGGTGAATATTTCTAGGAAAAAAAGAATAAATTGAAATTGTAGCTATTAACTGAAGGAATAAATAATAATCTAAATATTTGAAGAAAAAAATGATTGAGAAATTCAAGTACCAAGGTGAAATCAATGTGGAATCGATATGTAGTTGTAATTGAGTGAACATCTGGACGAAATTATATTTTTTATGTAGGTATTCAGATGTTTAAAGGTGTTATAGAACCTTTTTTTTTAAGGTTTCATAACGGAGGCCCAGGCCCTCAAAAATCGGTCTCTACCGAGGCAGTAAATATAATGTTGATCGCAATTTCAGAAAAAAAAATAGTAAGTGTGCCTCGTCCCTCTTATCACATTCCCAGACTTCATTTACCTTTCACTTTTACTACTAATGCCCAATATGTACTAATAATAATAATAATAATAAATACTCTTTATTGGTTTTAATTTACAACCAAAGGCCATTCACCAAGGTCCTGCAGCCAGTAAATTTTGACATGGGTGGTATTTTAATAATTTCAATGTGAATGACAAATGTGAGTTTGTAAAACTAATTTGAACAAAAAAAAATTGATATAAATTTATGAATAAATCTTGAGATAAATTAAATGTCCAACTGATCTTCACTCAATGATGTAAGTATTTCTTGTATTGTTCTTTCCGGGAATTTGAAATGTGATCTCATGTCTTCTCTTGGAATTAGGTGGAGAATTATAAGCTCCATGTTGCTGGTCTTGAGGGCGAATTTTTGGGATAACTTCCTCATTCGTTCTTGTATTGGTTCTATTCTAGTTTTGTTGTACAAATATTGATTGGAGGGGTTGTGTAGATGATTGTCAGTATGTCTGCAGTTTTTAAATTCTGCATGGTAGGATTTCTGCAGTTGAGATATATTGTGTGTCCCTAGTCCAGCAAAAGTGTGAATATGGATTTATAAATCTTTGCTGCTGCTGCGACGTTGATGCCATTATTTTTGTTGCTCTTGATGTTATATTTGCTTACAAATTTTGGAGTGGTATATGAAATTATATGAAATTCAGTTTATTGTCCAGATGGACTCCAAGGTACTTCACAGTTAGGGAACTATTCTTCATAACATGATTGAATAGCATCAGCTGACACTTCTGAGGATTTATCTTGAGTCTGCATTCTCCAATCATTTCATTCATCTCCAAGTTTCTGTCATGTGATATCAGGGCAGTGTCATCGGCGTATTGTATGGTGTAACATTTGGTGTTTTTTTTTTATCGCTTGGAGCGCACGAAAGGTAATCCCTATAATGTTCAAAGAACATCGTGCGTTCCTAGGGAGGATGGGGATAGGAGGTAGGTATTGGAATTTTTTTGAACTTCTGGAGATTATATGTTGTTGGGCATACTTCCTGAGGCAATGAATTCCAGAGCCTAGCCGTTCTATGGATGAAGGAGTTTTGATAAAGTGCTGTTCGACATCTTTCGAGGTTGACAACGAAAGGATGTGCTGACTGGGTTTGTCTAGTTCGTCTGACTGGCATTGCTAGTGACGGGATGATAGCAGAGATTTCCGAAGAACATTTTCCGTTTCAAGCATCGATAGAAAAGTGAAAGGTCGCCGACCTTTCTACGGTGTTCCAATGATGTCAAAGAGTGAGTGAGTGTGGCGTCACCCACCAGGCGGATGGCTCTTCTCTGGATGGAATCTAAGAGCATCAGCGTATGTTTTGGTACTGAACCCCATATGTGGGAACAGTATTCTAGAACAGGCCGTATCTGCACTTTGTAGATCATGATCATGGTCTTGCTGTTGGGGAAAATCATAGCAGTAAATGTTGTAAAGCATTGGTGATAAAGAGGCTCTTTGTGATAGACCTTGCTGTGCAGTGAACGGAAGGGACTTTATTGATTTATTTATATACAAGGTGTTTCTAAAATAGGTGGTCAAACTTTGGGAGCATATAGAGTGGGTGAAATAGTTACGAAAACCTCCGTAACATTTTTTTCTGAAGTGACCCCCAAGAAAGATACAGCCCCTCAAAGGGGGGCCTCAGTGAATGATTTTGAATTAGTATCTCCAACACCTTGTGTAATGAAAATCTGAAATTTCGTCCATCCACTTACTATTCAGTGCCGGTTCGAATGAAGTTAAAATCACCTCAAAATTAAATACAGGGGTGTGTCAAAATAAGGAGGTAGGGGGTAAAAATAACCCCAACTTTTTTGTTCATCACAATTTCAGTTTTTTTACATGAAATTATGAAATCTCAGGGCTATTAACATAGAAAAGGAGCTCTTGTTGAATCTCGATAAAATGAACCATTAGCGAATAAAATTTATTTTTCCAAGATTTCATTTAAATTGCAATTGAAGAAATGTTGCGGATCTCTCACTATTTCATCGTGATACAACTTGCCTCTCTCCAGAATCTTACTAATCGAAAACTTCATCATCCCTCTCTTACATTCCTGCTATGCTCTCTAACTCAGTGTTAAATTCTACGTTCCATTTCGTTGGAGTTATGTTGTATGAAAATGTAATAAAATAAGGTAGAAAAAAAATCAGTGATAATAATGCTTCCATTCAAATGCTCCAGGAAGTGGAAGAAGATATCTAGAAGCATTTTTTTCTCATTTTTAGAGCATTCACCTTATTTCATCTTCGATTTTGTATTTCAATAGTTGAATTAATAAAAGCTTGTTTTTTACAATATTTTTTATTTTATTTTCAATAGGATCATCCATAATCACGAAAATCGTCGTCTATTTTTAATTCATGAATTCCGACAACGAATTCAAAATTTCCAACCCCAAAAACCCTTACAAACCAATTTTGAATCGGATCGGACCATAATCACTAATCTGGTCAGCCACATTGGAGCCGCCATATTTTTTTCTATCAAAAAGTCCATAACGCGTTATCAACTGTCATCTGCCAGATTCCAAGTTGATCAGACGATTAGAAGTAGGTAAAAAGTCAGTTGCAAGATTTGAACTAGATAATTAAACTTGAGCGCACACCAAAATTGCAATTTAAATGAAATCTTGGAAAAATAAATTTTATTCGCTAATGGTTCATTTTATCGAGATTCAACAAGAGCTCCTTTTCTATGTTAATAGCCCTGAGATTTCATAATTTCATGTAAAAAAACTGAAATTGTGATGAACAAAAAAGTTGGGGTTATTTTTACCCCCTACCTCCTTATTTTGACACACCCCTGTATTTAATTTTGAGGTGATTTTAACTTCATTCGAACCGGCACTGAATAGTAAGTGGATGGACAAAATTTCAGATTTTCATTACACAAGGTGTTGGAGATACTAATTCAAAATCATTCACTGAGGCCCCCCTTTGAGGGGCTGTATCTTTCTTGGGGGTCACTTCAGAAAAAAATGTTACGGAGGTTTTCGTAACTATTTCACCCACTCTATATGCTCCCAAAGTTTGACCACCTATTTTAGAAACACCTTGTATATTGATTATATATTGAGACAACTAGCTGTCTTTCTTCCAGAAAACTTTTAATTATATGAATGAGGTTAACTGACACTTCTAGGAGCATCATTTTAAAAAGAAGTCCTTTATGCTACACACTATTGAATGTTTTTTTGATATCCAGGCAGTATGCGGCTGTTTTTTGGTTACTTAGGTTTGTTGATTGGGCATTCGAAACAAGAATAGTCGAAGGATGTATTGTCGACCGTAGGTTTCGGAAGCCAAACTCAGAGTTGGGAATCAATATGTACTATTTACTGAAAACATTTATTATTTTTTAAGCTTTCCTTTCAAGGAAAAAATGTCCAAAATCATGGTGACTCAGATGAACTTTTTATTTTGTAGGTGGTTACATTATGGTACAGGGCTCCGGAAGTCCTGTTGGGCCTGACTTATGCCACTCCTGTGGACATTTGGTCCATCGGTTGCATCATCGTGGAACTGTATAGTCTGAAACCTTTGTTCTGTGGCGAATCTGACGGAGATCAGCTCAGCAAAATATTCAGGTGAGATAACAATATTATGTTGTATCCCAATTTGAAATATCCATGTTAATATTTTCACCCATCATAAAACTATAGCTGGTTTATTAAAAACATTATTATTTGAATCTTATAAAAACGCCGCATGCTTTGATTTTCAGCCGATTTTTTGAAATACCTATAAGCAGAAAACAAGTTGATTGGTTTGAAAAACATTAGGTATACAAATTATAATGTGAATATTTTTCAACATCAACCGAAGCATAAAAAACATATTCTCTAAGAAAAAATATATTTTGCTTTGTTGACATTCATCTCTTTCTTGGATTTATAGATGTATTGCAAATATGAGTTGCTTTTCTGCATATGATTAAAAAAAACTAAATTGTTGATAAAAAATACTGCTTTCTTCATTTTTCATGGTTAATTCGATAAATTTGGACCCTAACCTGAACAAATTTTTTTGAGTGAAATCTTCACAGATTTTTAAAAAAATATTTGTATATCAACTTGTATGCTGAATTCCAAAACAACATCATGAGTTCAATGAAGCAAAAACTATATAATTAAACAAAATATTTCTTTATGCTTGGGTCGATCTTGATAAAATTGGTATTTATACCAATTTGTATGTTCTTTATTTGTTTTAACTGTTTGAAATCGGATAAAAAATTTTTGATTATTTATTGAGACATCCTATATGATTGTCTGACTTATCTACATGGTGTATGAAAAATATGATTGGAGTCTGCTGCTGTTTTATATGGAAAATGTACGAGGAACAAGGGCTGGAAATAATAATGGTGGAAAGCAGTTGGACACTATTATTTTCGTTTTTGATCTTCCTCTGCATCTCTATGTCTGATTTTATTTCTCCAAAATTTCGTCATAGGTACAAATTCTCAATAGAATGGCAATTTCAGAGAAATTGGACAAAATTCATTGGAACTCTCTGTCTTAAGTTTTTCTAAATTTCGAAAACCAGAAGTTGAAGATCAAGAAATTTGAAGAAGTGTTTTGTTTGGTTTTGTGTTTCTCCTGCTGTTCTTTGGTGTTTCATGTTTTGTGTATTGAGTTTTGTATATAATTCACAAAAACCGGTGATCACAAAAGAACACAAAATTGAATAGAAAAGCCAGTATGGAAGATGAAAAGTCAAAACAGTACCCCTCCTTGCAAGACCAAAGTTCTGTGGAACACAAGCCATAATAGAAAATTTGGTAAAAATTCTCATAGCTAATATTATTTTGTTTCCATATTTTCCAATATTTAGTTTTTCTACAGCTGAAAAACTGATCGAAACTGCTTTACCTACATTTAGCATGACAGGTTATTTTTATATTCACAGGGTGTTGGGCAAACCTCCAGAAAGTGAGTGGCCAGAAGAAAACATTTCGATAAAATGGAACTCCTTCAATGTGAACAGTCAAATAAGTATCGATCGAATTTGTCCAAATATATGTGAAACGGCCTACGACTTGATAATGGTGGGTAATTCTTACACAATTTTTATGAGTGCATTATTTTTTATTTCAATTGAATAAATAATATGTTTCTGAAAATTTTTTCTAGAGGAGCAGATATCCTCATTTTGTTTTGGTTAGTTGAAATTGTACTAACATTATTTAATTCAATAGGAAAATTGAAGTGTAGTTTCATACTTAAAACCACAGTGATATTTATGTGAATTTGTTTTATTTTCAAATAATGTATATATATTTTTTTTCAGAGTATGTTGACTTTCAATCCAAAAAGAAGAATTACTGCCCTAGAAGCTTTAAATCACAGATTTTTTCTGGAAGAACCAATCAATACGTAATTAATGATTATAATAATATTTTGAAAAGTGTGTCTTTACAGTGCCTTACATTTTGACTTTGTATTTTGTGGAACCGAAAATTTATTCATAATTTTACAATGAATAAAACCAGTTTTTCCTTCATTAATAATTTTTTCATTGAATTTTCAACAAAACTTCGTTGTGCATGATAATCAAAATATGATATTCTGCATACTAATCACAAACCCAGTTATGCACTTGATCAATTTATTGATACATTCACACTAGCAAAAAATGTAATTAAATAATATAATTATTACACTAGTTAATAAACTATCAATATAAATTATCACAAATTAATAATTCATGTACAAGTACAAAAGAAATTCGATGTAAATCCATTTGCAGTCAATATAAATACCCTGGAATAAGTATTCAAATTTACAATACCTTTTTCTACAAACGTCAAAAAATGACAAGGTTTGCGCATTTAACAATATGCGAAGTGACACTGTTTTTTCTACGTTACCATGATACCTTGCGCGAAACAGTGTGAGAAGTAAAATAGTGCGCGAAATACATACTTCGCGCACTGCATGTAAACAATTTATAGGATTTTTGTATTTTGACCTTTATGGTCTTCCAAATCCATTGAAAGCATTTATTTCTAAACGTTTAACAATAATCAATGCTTTTTGAGCCAGTTCATTTTTTTTTATATTAAGCTAAGCATACTACTAATTCCGAAACAATATTTTTTGACGTTTGTAGAAAAAAATTTGCTTGCCACTCGTGCGCGAAACACTTTGGTGATCTCGGATAAAAAAAAAAACGGTTCTTGATCATCGATGCATTTCCAAAACTAGATACGAAAATATTAAACTCAATACCAAACAATGAAAAAACCCTCTGAGATTACTGTTAACTAAAATATTCAAGTGGTGAGGCATCTTTAGGATAATACCTAATCACCGGATTATCATCGTTTTTAAGCCTGTGCTTCTGTCAAAATACATCAATTCTCTTCTCAAATTCGAAAAATATGTTCAGCCTCAAAAAAACATCATTTCCCTTGTAGAGTCACTATACGTGTCGATAATTTGTCCATCATGAAAATGCGAGTCGGCAGTGTTGTTGCACCTCGTCACACTTCAATATCCTCCCGTGGAAAGATTTTAAATTTGCAATTCTTGTCACATTTTCAAATCTTTTGTCCATACAAAAACAGCACATAGAGTGATAGGTTAGATGATGAAATTTTATGGTTGAAAGAACCTGCACTATTTTGAAATTCATCTCATTTTGTTCAGTCTATACAAAAGATGATTGTCTACCCTAACCACAAATATTTATTTTCTGTCTGTATTATCTGGCTCCTCTGATCCCTCCAAGAACTGATTGTCAACCCCCTGTCTACTCCAAAGTATTCTCTTCCTTGGGAAGATTGCTATCATCCTTCTTGGGTAGATATTTCGCTAGCTTCTCCCCAGCAGGAAAGTGACTGATGATATCCGGAAAAAAAGCTTTGCAGTTTTGTTGCCCTTCATAACAGTGCTTACTTCAATGTGCCCTCCACTCTTATTGACCACCATATCATCAGGGTAGTCTCGCTTCATCCCTTTATAACCAATTTTGGTCGATAAAAATGACCAGATCACTCCCACCGAGAAAAGCTGTCTAAATCGATGCAAGTGACCGGAGCCAGCAAAAGGCTCATCAAGGAAGTCAGGGCAGAGAAAGACGAGGCTAAAGAAGAATATGATGTTGTGGTCTATGTACCAAGCCAGGAGACCGGTGCAGAAGCTGAGGAGCTAGGTAGCCTAGGGACATGAGGTAGCAGCCCGAGCACACCAAGACAGGCATGTTGACGTGGTACTTTTTGTTCACACAAACAGCACAGAAAGCAATAGGTTAGATATAAAAAGAGTTGATGGTTGAAGGAGCCTGCGTTATTTTGGATCTCATTTTGTTCAGTCTATCTATACAAAAGATTATTGTCTACTTTAACCACACTTGTCTATGTCCCATCTGTATTATTATCGGGCTCCCCTGATCCCTCCAAAAACTTGTCAACCCTCTGTCTGTACTCCAAAGTACTTTCGGCCTTAGGAAGATTGCCATCGTCCTTCTTGGGTAGATATTTCGCTAGCTTCTCCCCAGCAGGAAAGTGATTGATGATATCCGGAGGAAAAGCTTTGCAATTCTTGTTGCCCTTCATAACAGTGCTAACCTCAATGTGCCCTCCACCCTTATTAATCACCATATCATCAGGGTAGTCTCGCTTCATCCCCTTATAACCAATTTTGGTCGATAAAAATGACCAAATCACTCCCACCGAGGAAAGTATGGTTATGTTTATCAGGGCCAGCAACAGGCTTATCGAGGAAATCAGGGTGGAGAAACACGAGGCTACGAAGAAGAATATATGATGTTGTGATCTATGTTCCATTGCTTCCAAGCCAGGAGGCCGGTGCAGAAGCTCAGGAGGTAACGCAGGAACATGAGGTAGCAGCCTGAGCACACCAAGACCGGCTTGTTCACACAAACAGCACATAAAGCAACAGGTTAGATATAAAAAGAGGTGAGGAGAGGTTGAAGGAGCCTGCGTTATTTTGGAATTCATCTCATTTTGTTCAGTCTATCTATACAAAAGATTATTGTCTACCTCAACCACAATTGTCTATGTCCCATCTGTATTATCAGGCTCCCCTGATCCCTCCAAAAACTTGTCAACCCTCTGTCTGTACTCCAAAGTACTTTCGGCCTTAGGAAGATTGCCATCATCCTTCTTGGGTAGATATTTCGCTAGCTTCTCCCCAGCAGGAAAGTGATTGATGATATCCGGAGGAAAAGCTTTGCAATTCTTGTTGCCCTTCATAACAGTGCTAACCTCAATGTGCCCTCCACCCTTATTAATCACCATATCATCAGGGTAGTCTCGCTTCATCCCCTTGTAACCAATTTTGGTCGATAAAAATGACCAAATCACTCCCACCGAGGAAAGTATGGTTATGTTCATCAGCAAGCTGAATGTCATGCCTCGGTAGTCGTCTAAATCGATGTAAGTGAGCAGGGCCAGCAAAAGGCTTATCGAGGAAGTCACGGCAGAGAAAGACGAAGCTACGAAGAAGAATATGATGTTGTGGTCTATGTACCATTGCTTCCAAGCCAGGAGACCGGTGCAGAAGCTGAGGAGGTAGCCCAGGGACATGAGGTAGCAGCCTGAGCACACCAAGACAGGCATGTTGATGGGGTACTTTTTGTTCACACAAACAGCACAGAAAGCAACAGGTTAGATATAAAAAGAGGTGATGGATGAAGGAGCCTGCGTTATTTTGGAATTCATCTCATTTTGTTCAGTCTATCTATACAAAAGATTATTGTCTACCTCAACCACAATTGTCTATGTCCCATCTGTATTATCAGGCTCCCCTGATCCCTCCAAAAACTTGTCAACCCTCTGTCTGTACTCCAAAGTACTTTCGGCCTTAGGAAGATTGCCATCATCCTTCTTGGGTAGATATTTCGCCAACTTCTCTCCAGCAGGAAAGTGATTGATGATATCCGGAGGAAAAGCTTTGCAATTCTTGTTGCCCTTCATAACAGTGCTAACCTCAATGTGCCCTCCACCCTTATTAATCACCATATCATCAGGGTAGTCTCGCTTCATCCCCTTATAACCAATTTTGGTCGATAAAAATGACCAAATTATTCCCACCGAGGAAAGTATGGTTATGTTTATCAGCAAGCTGAATGTCATGCCTCGGTACTGATGGTAGTCGTCTAAATCGATGTAAGTGAGCAGGGCCAGCAAAAGGCTTATCGAGGAAGTCACGGCAGAGAAAGACGAGGCTACGAAGAAGAATATGATGTTGTGGTCTATGTACCATTGCTTCCAAGCCAGGAGACCGGTGCAGAAGCTCAGGAGGTAGCCCAGGGACATGAGGTAGCAGCCTGAGCACACCAAGACAGGCATGTTGATGGGGTATTGTGATCTGTGGTATCTGTAAATTTCGAGGTCTTTGGCTACTTTCTCCCATAGCCGTTGGTTTTCCATTTCGGTTTCGTTAGTGGTTGTGATTGAAGGTTCTGTTTTGTTGTTGTGGGTTGCCATTTTGTGTATTATGAGGGTTCCCATCAGGACGGAGTACAGGAACAGTTGTAAGAAAACGACGCTCAGACCGATGACGATGGAAGCTGAGTATCTTCGTTCTGAGGGGTACTGGCTGTTCGGGTTCCGGTTCGATTTTGTTTTGATTTTGAATATTCGCTCCATGTTGGTTCCTGGAACAGATGAGGAATTTTAATGAGAATCACCACTTTCAATGACAGAATAATCCAAGTTTATTATCGTAACAAGGCTCCATCTTCACAGTTTTCCACTGTAGGTATACTTGTCTCTGATTTTTAATTCAAGGTAGACCACTTAATGTTAGTGGTCTTCTTTCTAGAAATGGTGAAAAGAAAAATAGATTGACAGTTTCTCTTTATGGATTAGTAGTCAAGTGAGCATGTCGTCCTATATTGTCTTCCAACCAAAGCCGTTGAAGGTCAATGTAACGATACACGTTTGTGAAGAACTGTTTATTTTACTATCGTAAAGGTGACACTGCTTGCATTTGTATCTTTATTATTATTAACAACGATAAACGGAAAAATTTATTATGAACGGAAATACGGTGCTGTATGCATGTACAGAGTGAATCATCAATATTGCACGAAAATTCAAGGTTGAGAATTGCTAAGGTCGAAATATAAAAAAGTATATACCCATAAACATTTTGAGCAGTGCGAATAAATGTTGTGGGGTAAATGAATAACTACGAACCAATATAGGGGGTGAATCTTGTCATAATTTATGCAACAAAGTGTGCATTTGTGCTTCGTTCTCGAAATGCAATGTTTTCATAAAACATCGTTTTTTATTCATTACTCAAAAGTCATTCTGTCAATTTTAATGAAACTTGGTCATTTTGTTGAAAGTACTATGGAACTTCTTTTGGTATAATGAAATTCGAAATAATAATTCCAGTGGCGTCGTGGTGATTTATTACCTTATTCATATTTTATATTTTATCAGTATTATTATACGCCACTGGTTTTTCTAAGTTTCCTATTATTATCAGATTGAAAAATTGAAAGTACTTACAATCTTCTTGTC